CGAACTCGCCGTGCTAGTACGTGAGAACGGCAGATAGATGGCGCGGTGACAAAGTGGCCTACATGCCGGTGGCGCTGGGCTCGCTCGGCGGCGAGGGCGAGTACCGCGAGTACGGCCACCATCTCTCGCCGCACCCCCCACACCCCCCACACCCCCAACACCCCCAGCACCTGCAATACCATGAGTACGCGCCGCCGCCGCCGCCGCTACCGCCGCCAATCTACCACCCGATACCGGACCCCTATTATAGGTAAACTCCTCCAGACTTATAATGCCCTGGTCAAATGAATGTTTACTTCGGTATACTCTGCTTCTGTTCTTTCTTTCTTCTTTCTTCTTTCTTCTTGTCGTGTCCCAAAATCGAAAATAGTTTTTTATTTTAACCGACTTCAAAAAATTATGATGTTTGCTCGCTATTTTTTTTTTAATTATTTTATATCATTGTTTTTATCCCGACAAGCAAATTATAACTTTTTAAGTAGATATTAGAATGTTCTAATTTGACCAAAACAAAAAATTAAAAATGTATTTACGAAAAAAATACCTATGTATAAATATCAGTTATCTAGTACCCATAACACAAGCTTTAGCTAGCTTAACTTGGGTCTAGATGGCGCTGTGTGAATTGTCCTGAGATTATTATTATTGTACTGTATTTTAGTATTAATGTAACATATTTTTATCAGTTGTATAGTACTCATAACACAAGCTCTAGCTATCTTAACTTGGGTCAAGATGGCGCTGTGTGAATTGTCCTGAGATTATTATTATTGTACTGTATTTTAATATTAATTTAACATATTTGTATCAGTTGTAGTACCCATAACACAAGCTTTAGCTAGCTTAACTTGGGTCTAGATGGCGCTGTGTGAATTGTCCTGAGATTATTATTATTGTACTGTATTTTAGTATTAATTTAACATATTTGTATCAGTTGTAGTACCCATAACACAAACTTTAGCTATCTTAACTTGGGTCTAGATGGCGCTGTGTGAATTGTCCTGAGATTATTATTAGTGATATATTTTATGTTAGTAATTCTTATCTTATCCTGAACATTTTTCAAGGCCTTTCATTGTATTATAAGTTAATAGCTAGCCACCCCGGCTTCGCACAGGTGTACATGTATATTAACCATAAATATAAACCTTCCTCAGAATCATTGTATCTAGTAAAAAGAACCGCTTCAAAATCCGTTGCGTAGTTTTAAAGATTTAAGCATACATAGGGACAGACAGACAGCGACAGCGACTTTGTTTTATACTCTGTAATGATTAGTAGATAATCATACCAACGTCTGTCCCTAATTACGTCTTTGAAAAAAAAAAAACCTTACGAAGCAGTAGACTATAACATAGTGACGTCACGGTGACGTCTATGGTTTTAAAAAAAATATATATTGTTCTTCTTAAGCTGTTACGATTCATTACCAAATATGTAATCATTGGTAAACAAAAATCTCTTGTTATGTTCAATCATTAAGAGCTATTTTCCTACATATTACACACTTTTGTTACACAAAGTTGTCTTTCATCAAAATAACCTCTATGATGTTCAGTATAGGGATTTTTATAGAATGACCAGCTATTCGCCCTGGCTTCGCATGGGTATACATGTATTATATATATAAACCTTCCTCTTGAATCACTCTATCTATTTAAAAAAAACCGTTGCGTAGTTTAAAGATTTAAGCATACATAGGGACGGACAGACAGCTGATGATGGTGCCCCGCCACCGTGATAGGGGGCGAGTGCAGATGGCACTCCAAACCAAAGGAAGGACTTATGGAGCGGCTGAAGGGCAACTCCCGCCTGATAGATACGACTTTAGTCTGAGGGCACCGCTAGGAGTTCGAACCTCGGCTCAGGCAGTCGTAATATCGATCTCCGTTTGAATTGGACGGGGGATCGATCGGAGATGGGGACGGGGGATCGATCGGAGGGGGGTTAGCGCAGGATGCATTCCATTATCACCAGAGTCGCATAATGTTACAGAAGTTAGTAAAATGACTTGTAAATAAATTAGGAAGCCGTACAATAGAGTTTAGGTCTTCATTTCATTACGAATAAACAAATCAGCTTTCCAATTAATTTATATCGCAAAACGTTGTTTTGCCATATAAATTGATAACACTATAAAAAAATAGGGTGATAGGAGGGTGAAAATTTAGGGTTGTATGTATTTTTTAATGACACATTATAAAAAGAATATAAATAAAAAAAATTGTATAAAAAATAAAAATTAATGTTAGGGGTGGACCACCCTTGTCACTTACGGGTATGAAAAATAGAGAGTAGCCGATTCTCAGACCTTTTCAGAAAATTTCATAAAAATCGATCAAGCCAAGTTTGGGAGGAGTATGGTAACTAACATTGTGACACGAGAATTTTATATGAGAATGAAATATACATAGTTTATCTCTAAGTGCTCTACTGAACTAGTGTTGCCACCCATCCGGGTTTCCCCTGATTTGCCCCAGTTCAGGGGGCATCCGGGGAACGTCCGGGGCATTTTTTTTGGTTTAATATTAAAGTCCTTACTTCCTTACTAATATTATAAATGCGAAAGCAACTCTGTCTGTTTCGCTTTCTCTCCAAAACTACTGAACCAATTTAAATAAAATTTGGTACGCAGATAGTTTAGACCCTGAGAAAGGACACAGTCTAATTTTTAATGAGAAAAAAGGTTTGCAAGGAATTAAAATGTGAGATGAAAGGTTGTATGGAAGTGTCGTCATTTTTAAAGCTCGAAGCGTGAAACTTATTTCTTAGGCGTTGATGTAAATATTAATAAATAATACATAGAAAGTTTGTAAAGATTTTACCTCTAAGGGAGTAAAATAGAATAAGGGATGAAAGTTTGTATGGAAATTTGTCATTTTTAAAGCTAGAACGACGAAACTTTTATATTTGGCGTTTTATAATTAGCCTAAATGATTAAAAATGCCATCAAGGGACACTGTACCACGCGGACGAAGTCGCGGTCACAGCTAGTTAATAATATGTGTTTTATTTTAAGAACAAAAAAAAAATCGAATACAAATTGTTACAAACTGTAATAAGATTTTTTAGGAACATTTAAAATGATGATAAATAATGACTACATTTAATTTTAAGGTCTGAAAATAAATAAAAAGGTGATTTGCTGTTTCTTATTCCACTTTAAAAAAAATTGTTGACATGTTCAGGTTCTGGACTCTAAAATTCGGGGTTTTCACGCGTCTTGTCCTTGTTTGTAAATTTTAAAGATGGCAACCCTATACTGGATTGTTAGTAATGTGGACTAATAGCCTCATTGCTAGCAATGTGATATCAGGTTGACCTCCACGCGGTTTCCCCTGGAAACCATCATGTTAAATTTACTTCTGAAGTTACCACGATGGGCTAACTGTCCTGACCTCATACTCTTATCATCCTCCACTGGTGCCCCGCCAGTTAAACCGTTAGCGCAGGCGAGTGCACCATTCCATTATCACCCATAAAAAAAAACACCCTCAATAAAAAAATGTTCATATTTGGGGTATGTCTTTAAACCATCACGTTAAATTTACTTCTGAAGTTGCCACGATGTACTAACTGACCTGACCTCATGCTCATCTTATCATCCTCCACTGGTGCCCCGCCAGTTAAACCGTTAGCGCAGGCGAGTGCACCATTCCATTATCATCCATAAAAAAAAACACCCTCAATAAAAAAATGTTCATATTTGGGGTATGTCTTTAAACCATCATGTTAAATTTACTTCTGAAGTTGCCACGATGTACTAACTGACCTGACCTCATGCTCATCTTATCATCCTCCACTGGTGCCCCGCCAGTTAAACCGTTAGCGCAAGCGAGTGCACCATTCCATTATCATCCATAAAAAAACACCCTCAATAAAAAAATGTTCGTATTTGGGGTATGTATTTAAACCATCATGTTAAATTTACTTCTGAAGTTACCACGATGTGCTAACTGACCTGACCTCATGCTCATCTTATCATCCTCCACTGGTGCCCCGCCAGTTAAACCGTTAGCGCAGGCGGGTGCACCATTCCATTATCATCCATAAAAAAACACCCTCAATAAAAAAATGTTCATATTTGGGTTATGTGTTTAAACCATCATGTTAAATTTACTTCTGAAGTTGCCACGATGTACTAACTGACCTGACCTCATGCTCATCTTATCATCCTCCACTGGTGCCCCGCCAGTTAAACCGTTAGCGCAGGCGAGTGCACCATTCCATTATCGTCCATAAAAAAAACACCCTCAATAAAAAAATATTCATATTTTGGGTATGTGTTTAAACCATCATGTTAAATTTACTTCTGAAGTTGCCACGATGTACTAACTGACCAGACCTCATGCTCATCTTATCATCCTCCACTGGTGCCCCCGAGTGCACCCTCAATAAAAAAAACGCTTGTATTTGGGGTATGTGTTTATTTTTATTTTCACGATTGTCTCATTTTCTCAGCGTTTTTATTTTATTTTCCTTTCTTTTTCACAACTTAAGTTGGTGACTACCAGTACCGAGGACGGGACATGCCAAGTCTCACGTTACTTTATTCTGCTTGATGGTCCATTCTGTGGCGTTTAGGAAGCGACGGACTATGCAGATGTATCTAAGATGTCTTTTGTAGTGGAATGTAGATGTCGTTTATTTAATTTCAGATCGTCTATTGCTATATGTAGTGTTTTAGGTATAGTTCCTGTAGAGTTCTTTTCTCTTTTTCTCTTCTTTTATGGATTTAAAAGAAGGTAATACTCACCTACACGGGCCTTAGCCAAGTGTGGTAGAGGTTGTGCTGGGTGAGGATATTGTTGAGGAGGTTAAGAATTTTATTATTATTATTACTATTTTTATCCAAAAATTCTCATCTCCCCTCTTAAGGAGAGGGGAGATGAGAATTATTATTATTATTATTATATATATACAATACCCTTAATAAAAAATGCCTTGTATTTATTATTTGGAGTATCTTGATATTGATGTAGTACCTTGTCTATTTCCAGAAGGCACGCGCCGTACTTCGGACAGCCGGATTACAGAGTTTACGAGCTGAACAAACGGTTACAACAGAGGACAGAGGTACGTCATACGATTTTTTTTATATACTCTTATTTTTTTTATGTATACATTGACAACAGGCCTTACTTAGACCGTACCCTATTATGCCTTACGCCCAAACATAATGCACGATCGAAAGTTACGGACACGAAAAAACATGACTAACTTTCTGGTGATGGAAACATCGTTAACAAACAAAAATCTTACTGCACATTCGAAACTCAGCGACACGAAAAAACGCTCACTAACTTACTGGTGATGGGTACATCGTTAACATAGAAAAATCTTACTACACGTTCGAAACTCACCGACACAAAAAATACTCCAACTTTCTGATGATGGATACATCGTTACCAAACAAAAATCGTACTACACGTTCGAAACTCACCGACTGGAAAAAATCCTGACTGACTTTCTGGTGAAGGGAACATCGTTAACAAACAAAAATAATCGAAATAACTGCGCGGTAGCTCCTGGACATGTTGAATTAAAATTCGGTCTAAATGTGGGCTTCTCAATTGTTGCGTTATTATCTTATTTCGTTTCAATGGCAACTGAATGTACTTTCACCAGAACGTTGCAATGACGCATTTTTTCGATCTTCCTTTGTGCAGGATGTTGGGCACAAAGAACAGGACAGGATGGGCCATACTCTGGCTACACGCCCCGCAGTTGCTAACCTCCCTTGAAGCGACACCCCATTTTACCAAGTTGTACCTGGAGAGGTCCATCTGGGTTCGCAGTCTGTTAAGCGATTTCCAGGTGTGCATTGCAGGTGCACTGGAGGCACGCTATGATGTTGACAGATGCCTATACCTCTGACTGACCCCATATTCGATTTTAGTCGTGACGATACGTACTAGCTGTTACTCGCTGATCTATAAGCACAAACTTTCATGCCTTATTTCACGCCCTTTATTATATATATTTTAAAGTATTGATTATTACTTATTTACTGACAGCCTCAGTGGTCTAGCAGTTTAGCAGACCGCTTTACTTCCAATTGTCACGGGTTCGATTCCTCTCACGGCACGAACATTTGTATTCATGAATATGATTGTTTGTATCGGTCTGGGTGTTTTCTATGTATTGACAAAAAAATATCTTAGTATTTATATCAGTTGTGTAGTACACATAACACAAGCTCTGCTTACAGTGGGACTAGATGGCGCTGTGTTAATTGTACAGGGTTATAAAAAAATATTTATAATCTATATTGCACAAGACAAAGAAAATAATTAAAATGATAAGATTACTTAAAATTATACAAAAGGCGGCCTTATCGCTAAACAATCTCTTTCAGACTACCTTTGCGTAGAGAAATTCAAAATATCTTTATTCATGTATGTCTATTACAGACTCTTATGATATGTCAAATCTACCGTCAGTTCGGAATGATTTCGAGCTGAGAAGAACTGACGAGAAACTCAGCTCGTATTCTTTTCAAACTAGCTGTACACGCGACTTCGTCTGCGTGGAATTGAACTTTATTTTTCTAAAAAAAAAGATTTTTAGGTTCCCTTAGTTACTCTTACATCAACTACCTGCCAATAAAAGCAATCCCGTTGCAATCGCTACAGCCATTTCAGAGATTAGCCGAAACAAACAAACAGACAGACGAAAATTGTAAAATATGATATTTTGCTGTATTCCGGCTAATGGGAACAAACAGACAACAGACAAAAATTTTGAATTTGAATTTGAAAGCAATTTTAAGATAAGAAAAGGGTAGGCTTGCCTTGTCCTTCCTCCGGGTCTAGACTATCTGTGTACCAAATTTCATTAAAATCGATCCCGTAGTTTTAGCGTGATAGCCTGAAATTAGGCTAATTTTTAATACTAATAAAGGATTGTAAGATTGTTTGGTAGTTTCGTCATTTTAAAAACTAGAAGCTTGAAACTTATGTTTTAGGCTGTTGAATAAATATAAATAAATATGACATTCTAAATTTGTAAACACTTAGCATTGTGAGGGATAAAATCAAATAGGGGATGAAAGTTTGTCTGTAAATTCGTCATTTGTGATGCTAGAACGATGAAACTTTTTCTCTGGCTTATTTGGGTCAGATTATTAAATAATTCTTCTTTATTTAGTCGTGGTTCTTCTTTATTCAATTTCACGCGAACGAAGTCGCGGGCACAGCTAATCTTATACATACAAGAACAGCGCTATGGGGATCACGTAGTCACGTAACGCCGTGATATTTTTTTGTTCACACCGGATTCGAACTTACGACGTTTAGAATGTAATTTGAGAGAGTAAAACACGAAGTCATGAGGCTGTTTGTATACATATTTTAGTAATGCTATGAGAAATTCCATAAATGTTTCACATATTCGAACAACTTTGTTACTTCTAGCGCCATCTGTTACGAGTTTGATCAAACAGTATGTCAAGTAGCGACATCTATTGAGAGTTTTTGGTATCTTACGGCTTTATAAGTCGCTTCACTTAGTCTGCGTTTTATTCCACCACCTTTTGCAATATTTTTCATTGCAGCTCCGCTCCTATTGGTTGTAGCGTAATGTTATATAGCTTAAAGCCTTCCTCGACAAATGGACTATCCAACCCAAAAAGAATTTTTCAAAGGGGTGCTAAACTGCTAGATCACTAAGATCGGATATGTATTAATATTTCTATGTAAATGAATGGTAAACAAATTGATGACCCTTCTGATGGTAAGTCACAGTTTTCTTCTATGTACATAAATAGCACTACGAACATAACATCATGATCTGAACCCTGTAGTACTCATTCAGGTGTTGCCATTCTAGAGATAACAGGAGTATCATTATACTATGTAATTTCACTGTCATATACCATCCATCGAACTATCTAAAAGTTTATGTTGGCCTGGTACTTTTCCAGTAGTATCACAAACATCAGTCAAAGTTGTGCCCCCATACGAGCCCTCAGAGGTTGCTATTCTGGAGGAATATAGGAGTGTCATGCCTCTGTACTCACTAATTTCACTGTCATATAGCATCCATGGAATATCTATAAGTTTATGTTGGTCTGGTACTTTCACACTAGTATTACTAACATCACTCTATGTTGTGACCCCCATAGTACCCATCAGGGGTTACCATTCCGGAGGAATAGGAATGTCATGTCGTACTCTGTAATTACACTGCCATATAGCATCTATCAAACTATCTATAAGGTTATGTTGGCCTGGTACTTTCACACTACTATTACTAACATCACTCCATGTTGTGACACTCATACGACCCCTCAGGGTTTGCCACTCCAGAGGCATAGGGAGTATCATCCCTCGGAGTCTGTAATTTTACTGTCATATAGCATCCATCACTGTCTATAATTTTATGTTAGCCTGGTACTTTCACAGGGCTCCCACGAACTTCCGTGACGCCCGTAGTACCTACCCCTCATTACCATTCTGAAGGAGTAAAAATGTCATGCCGTGCTCTGCATCTGCATTTGCTGTATGTGATCCATCAAATCATCTATAACTTTATGTTGGCCTGGTACTTACCTCACAGTAGTATGACATTTACAGCTTAGTAGACCCTACTTGGCGACTAAAAAACTTTAGACGAAGTAAAACATAGACAGACGACTTTGTACAACATTACATATTAGAAATCTTATTCATCAAAAAAACTTATCTAAGTACATCTATATATCTATATAGTACTCATAGTTTGAGATAAGATGGCGCTGCGTAGTATTGCACGCTAAACAATCTGCATTAAGGTGAAATGGACTTTAACGTCCAAAATTTACGATCGAATTTCTTTTATTTTTTTAATAGTCCGTATAAAATTTCGTGATAATGCATTTAATTTAAAAATTTAATGTAGAAGAGTCAATAATCGTCTTTAAGATCTGAAGTAGTCATTGTGAAATGGACTTTAAATCTAAAACTTTAAGAGTCGAATTATCATTAATTACATTCTAAGTTAATGCACTTCATTACTGAGCGTGCCAATGGTAATTAAAAAAATCTACTTTACCTATAACCTTGGCAAGTGCGAGCAATAAGTTGACAAAGTTTATCACAATGGGATAAACCGGCGTGACAGCGCCGAAACACGATCAAAACAATATTGATTTTTATTATACTAGTAGCGCCTCGCAGTGTCATTCGCAGTCTGATTGAGACTTGTACGAAGCCATTTGCATTGTTTTTTTCTGGATTATAATGAAATGGTACCTCTTCCTGCGCTAACGGTTTATACTGGCGGGGCATCAGTGGAGGATGATAGGAAGAATATGAGGTCAGGTCTGTTAGCCCATCTGACAAATTCACTAGGAATATATCACGATGGTTTTCAGGAGGAGCCACGTATAGGTCGACCTAACTACTAGGGGATTACTAGTTCCCATTACTAACCCCCACTAAGTACCCCATCCCCCCAAGTTATCTACATTACCTCATCTATCTATCTTCTGTCGCCAAGAAACCTCTGTCTATCTATCTAAGAAGCTTGATTTTTTTTCACAAACCTGTAGTAGAGTAGAAAATTGCTGTGAAAGTACCAGGATAACATAAAGTTAAAGAGGTAGAATATACGTTATTATGTGACACCTGTGAATACCACTTGCGTTGCCATACCAGAGGAGTAAGTCATACCTCTTACCCTATAACTTTACTGTCACATCTCAACCCTCCAACGAACTTAGAAACACAAGGCTTGGCGACAACAAGGTGAGACTACTGTGTGTCTCTCTCTGTCCTATGTGTTTATCTCTTAAGTAAGTGAGACAGATGTATCCACGCAGAGTATGTTATACAAACTCTACCTCGTTGTTTTTTTTTTATACCACGATGATAGCAATTATTTTATATGAAGGTATCCGCAGACTACCAGCGTCGTGGCACCCCGTCACGACATATGCTGAGCGGGAGACCTATTTGGTACTGTAATTATTAATATAAAAATGTAAATAAAATTAAAAAAATATTTTTAGTGTACCAAATAAACAATTTTCTTTCTTTTTCTTTCTTTCTTTCTTTCAATCAGTGTTACGTTGTTTGTCCATGATGGAAACCTAAACTACTGAGCCGATATTGATGAAATTTTATATGTATACTCGACAGGTCTTTAAATAGGTGGTCATCTATTTTTTATACCCCTAAATGATAAGGGTATAAAAAATTGATACAACCTTTTTATCTAATATATAAAATTTATTGTAAAATATTTCTTTATATTTTTGGCATTACTTGATGATTCGACATATAAATGAAAAATAGTACGTTTTTTTAATGCCTAAACATAAAAACCCTAAATTTTCACCCTTCTACCAATCAACCCCTAATAATAGCAATATTCATGTATATGGCAAAACAACATTTGCGGGGACACCTACTATAAATATAGATAAACTAACCAGAACCTGTTTCTCAATTCCAGGAATCAGATAACCTATGGTGGGACGCGTTCGCGACAGAGTTCTTCGAGGATGACGCCACTTTAACATTAACTTTCTGTTTAGAAGATGGACCTAAAAGATACAGTAAGTATCAATACTTAAATAGACAGAAAAGAATAATAATCTCAGGACAATTCACACAGCGCCATCTAGACCCAAGTTAAGATAGCTAGAGCTTGTGTTATGGGTACTAGATAACTGATACAAATATGTTAAATTAATATTAAAATACAGTACAATAATAATAATAATCTCAGGACAATTCACACAGCGCCATCTAGACCCAAGTTAAGATAGCTAGAGTTTGTGTTATGGGTACTAGACAACTGATACAGATATGTTAAATTAATATTAAAATGCAGTACAATAATAATAATAATCTCAGGACAATTCACACAGCGCCATCTAGACCCAAGTTAAGATAGCTAGCGCTTGTGTTATGGGTACTAGATAACTGATACATATACATAGATTTTTTTTGTAAAAAATATTATACATAAAAAACACCCAGACCGATACAAACAATCATTCTCATGAATACAAATGTTTGTGCCTTGCAAATAACATCTTTAAATAGTATCATTTAGTTTAAGGCGGTAAGTTAACACGTTAGCGACCGCATGCCCATCGGTGGGTCACTCCGCAACGAAAGTAAATTTACACGTTGGTACCGGGTGATCACTAATGGGCACTTTAATTGAAAGAAATCTAGGGTTCTCACCCGTGGGCACTTCAATTGAAATGAATGTAGTGGTAAAGTAATGTCTACCTCAATTTATTGTACACTAAAAACATATTTAAATAATAATATACGTAATTAACAATAAAAAATACCAGTCCCTATGTGAGAAATAAGATTTTTCGATGCAGTGCTAAAAACAGTGAAACAAATAATCTTTACATAGTATAAAAGTTACTGATCGATCCCTCGTCCAATTCAAACGGAGATCGAAATTACGACGGCCTGAGCCGAGGTTCGATCCCCTAGCGGTGCCCACAGACTAAAGTCGTATCCGTCAGGTGGGAGTTGGCCTTCAGCAGCTCCATAAACCCTTCCTTTGGTTTGGAGTGCCATCTCCACTCGCCCCCTATCGTCCGGTGAAGCTGTAAAGGCCAGCTGCGGCCAACAGCATTAGAGTAGTCAGAAAAAAAAGCAGCAAACTAACTATTTATATGAGTTGTCTAGTACCTATAACAAGATCTGCTTACCGTGGCAGGTTACGGTAAGCAGAGCTGTGTTAATTGTCCAGGGTTATTTTTGTAATTTCATCAAAATCGATCAAGCATAGGTGCATGGTAACTAACGTTGTGACAAGAACTCTATAGATACTAGCAGACTCGGCCACGCTGTCGCTAAGATTCTTCAATAAAATAATATTGCGACTATAAATTGAGATGTAAGCTATCCTATCTTTCAAGTTGGATCAAATTGCACACAATGCGCAAATCAAATTTGCAATCGGTTCAGTAGTTTAGAAGTCCATCGCGGACAAACAACTTCACACGTAATTTTTATATATAAAGACTAGCTGTACTCGCGACTTCGTCCGCGTGGAGTTTAACTTTATTTTTCTAAAATATAAGCAGCCTAAGTTACTCCTTATTACATCAGCTACCTGCCAATAAAAGTCCCGTCAAAATCTGTCCAGACATTTCAGAGATTAGCCGGAACAAACAAACAGACAGACAAAAATTGTAACAAAAATATATTTTGGTGTATATACCGTTTTCATATTCACATGTATGTAGTAAAAAACGTTTATTTCAATATTACAAACAGATACTCCAATTTTATTTATATGTATAGATGTATAGATAACTGTATGACCATTCTCACTATATACTCGATGTTATAAGTTATAAACAAGAAGAATATCAGTTCATTAATTTCGTTTAACCTTTGTCCAATCACGTATCAAATATTTTAAGTCACTGCAAGAAGATTAAATTATATATTGCAAACAATATTGTTAGTGAGTCGACTGCATCCGTCTGATAGGGACACGGTGAGTTCTATTTTCGGTTATTTTTTAAATAAATATTAAAAAAAAAACATATTCTTACTTACGTTTATTTTTTTTTATTTATTTATTTTTTTTTTATTGCAATTATTTGCAACAGATGCAGAAGATAATCTTATTAATTTATAAACGCGTAAGTTTGTGAGTTTGGATGGATGTTTGTTACTCTTACACGCAAAAACTACTGAGCGGATTTCGATGAAACCTTACAGTAATATAGCTTATACGTCAGAATGACAGGCTATAAATTTCACGCGATTGAAACCGGGGGTAAAGGTATAATAATAATAATAATAATAATTTTATTTATTTTCACATATTTTTTACTAATATTTATGTAGTCCCTGACTTATGAGGTAGGTATAGAAAATACCCGTGAAAAGTTATAATAATAATATTCTATAAAGAACTGTTACAAAAAGCCGTCATTTTGAATACTTGCCATATTGTAAGAACATTTCTCTCGACATCACATTCATCAGCCTCGTATATTAAACTCATCCACGCTTGGCCAAGGCCCGCGTTTGAACATAAAAGGGGAGATATATAAATAACTAGCTGTCCTGGCATACGTTGTTTTGCCAAATTAAAATCGCTATAAAAAATAGGGGTTGATGATAGAAGGGTGAAAATTTAGGATTGAATGTATTTTTGTATGTTGTATCATAAAAAAATAGAAACTAAAAATTTTGTCTAAAAATAAAATAAAAATTTAGGGATGGACTACCCGTAACATTTAGGGGGGTGAAAAATAGATGTTGGCCGATTCTTAGACCTACTCAATACGCTCACATTTTATGAGAATCGGTCAAGCCGTTTCGGAGGAATATGGGAACGAAAACTGTGACACGAGAATTTTATATATAAGATGTATAAATATGGGCTTAGTATAGCCTGAAATAAATAAAAAAATATTTGTTTTGATTTGTTTTGATAATAAAGTGAGACGACATTGCACTGTCTACCTCCGGCAACGTTTATTATCAGTCAAGTTCACAAAACAAATAAGATAAGAAACAATGTAGTGTCAACTACAAAATTAAAACTAATTAAAAATAATTATAAACAATCTTGAGCTTCGTTTAATTGCTTAATATTATTTTATATACTCGCTGTGCCCGCGGGTTGACCTGCATGAAATTTGCAGCCTATAAGCTATATTGTGTATAACCATAAGCCTAGTCCATAAATTAAAAGTTTATTTATGTAATATTGTAAATGTAATAGTATAAATATTATTATATCATTTTTTATGCCTTGATTTTTTTTTTGTTATGATTATTTTATTGACACACATGCTGGTAACATTAAATGACAATCACGTGAGTAACTGGCTAGTCGCCCCGGCTTCGCACGGGTGTATTATATATATAAACCTTCCTCTAGAATCACTCTATATATTAAACAAAACCGCTACAAAATCCGTTGCGTAGTTTTAAAGATTTAGGCATACATAGGGACGGACAGACGGCGACAGCGACTTTGTTTTATACGATGTAATGATGGACTTTGCTCAGTATATATCATTTAATTTCAGTAATTTTAATTTATTTTCTGTCTTGTTCTAATGCATATATGTTGTCTCATTCCAGCAATAGGAAGGACGCTCATACCGCGGTACTTCCGCAGTATATACGAAGGCGGCGTGTCAGAGTTATACTACACGATGCGTCAGCCCAAAGAATCCTTCCACAACACGAGCATCACGCTCGACTGTGACCACTGCACTATGGTCACGCATCACGGGAAACCGATGTTCACAAAGGTGAGCTCCTACCAACTCATGTTGTCCTGGTACTTGCTGTTACGACCACGTGGTAGGCCACCAGATTGATTATCAGTTCAGTAACGTAAAAAAATATTAGACTGATTTTTAACTTTATTTATATGTATACAAAGAGGAAAATAGATTTTTATTATGGTCTTAATACGGCTGTGACCATTGCACTGTGGTCACGCATCATGGGAAACCGATGTTCAAAAAGGTGAGCTTCTACCAACTCATGTTGCCCTGGTACTTGCTGTTACCACCGTCTGGTAGGCCACCAGCTTAATTCAGTAGTTCAGTCAGTCAGTTCAGTAACGTAAAAAAAATATTAGACTGATTTTTAACTTTATTTATATGTAAACAAAGAGCAAAATAGATTTTTATTATGGTCACTCAATACGGTTTTTTTTTATCATAATAACTTTGCACTCGTAATAACCGTGCAAAGCCAGAGCGCATCGCTAGTATTACAAAAATATCTCAAACTACTAGGCATTCATAAACAAGTGTATATTGTTTGCAGGTGTGTACAGAAGGCCGACTGATCCTGGAGTTCACGTTCGACGACCTTATGAGGATCAAGTCGTGGCATATGGCGGTGAGGGCGCACCGCGAGCTGATCCCTCGGCAGGCGGTCCACCCCCCCGACCACCAGGCCCTCGACCAGCTCACCAAGAACATCACGCGCCAGGGTATCACCAACTCGACACTCAATTATTTGAGGGTGAGTAGTTGTGTTTAGTTTTTTTTTAATATAATGTATTGATGCTCCCGTTTGCACTAATGGTATACAGTCAACTCTCCTATAACGCGGTGAGTGCGTACCGCGTTGTATGGAAACCGCGCTATAAGAAACTCGGATTTAACCGTACAAACCAGGCTAATTCGTAGTGCGTTCTATGGAAACCGTCTACCGCGTTGTATGGAAACCGCGCTACAAGAGACTCAGAATAAGTACAAATCACATCATTCGTACCGCGTTATATGGAGACCAATAAATACAAAAGACAAGATAAATTATAAATTATTTTTATTGAATTGAAGAGTATGAACTCTTCAATTCAATAAAAATAAGGAAATGATGAAAAAAATGAAACAAAAACTAAACTAAAAAACTGTTTTCCAACAAAAACAAAAGAAAGACTTGTAAAATGATGTAATCTTTCAACACTCATCCTCACTGTCAGATATGAGTCGCCTAACTCGCCTTCTTTTAATGGGCAAAATGTCTTCCTCACTTGGTTGATCTTCACATTGGTTTTAAGCGGCTAAGACATAAGCAGAACGTAGTTTTTCTATAGTTCACGCGACAATGTAGTCAAAAGATCACATATATATCTTTCATGTTACAGTTTCGTTAGACACACACACTCATGGCACGCTGTCGATGCGAAACTATTTAGTTAATAGAAGTGGAAGATAGCGCATGAGGAGCCCCACCCGTGAACCACGCTGATATAAACATATCCAGTTAAAACCATTCATTGGGTGCACGGAAAGAACTGATGGGACGTTGTTGAACAGAAACCGCGCTGTAAGAGTACCGCGTTATAGGAGGGCTGTCGCAATTTCAGCTCCGCGTTATATGGAAACCGCGTTCTGAGAGTACCGCGTTATAGGAGGGTTGACTGTACTCTGATACTGATAGGGTAGCAGTGTAGGATTATAAAACACCCGCTTGCTAACGGTATACGCTGGCGGGGCACCAGTTGAGGTTAGGATAGGATGAACGAGACGTTAAAGCAGTTCCATGCTCTTATAAAATAATAAGTGTGATACAGTGAAAGTACCAGGATAACATGAAGTTACAGGCAGTTAGGAATATTTGATACTGTTCATGTATATAGGCGACGGTTGACACACTATATATATTATAGAATCGAAAGTCTTCCATAATGGAATGGTGCACCCGCCTGCGCTTACGGCATACGCTGGTGGTGCATTTGTGGAGGATGATAAGATGAGAATGAGAATCAGTTAGCCCATCCAGATGAAATTACTTGGTTTCCAGGGAGAACCGCGTGGAGGGCAACATGACTAATCACCTCCCGTCCCCAAACAAATGAATAAATAAGCGAATATTGCTTGTCTGATAGAGACTGGGCCATGACATACATGATGATCCCCAGCTTTGCCCTAAAATTAACCCGATATTTAGCCCCTAGGTACTACAAGATTCAGGGCCCTTGAGTTTTTTTCTCTGTTTATTTATATTAGAAGGAAAAATAGTGTAATGTATTTTATATATATTCTGGCTGATCCGCCAATATTATTGCTACGCACAACCATATTATACAATCACCATCCAGCAATGGTATTTCCGAAACGATACGATATTGAAACCTTCAACAAAAGAGCTTATTCCTCTTTAAAAGGGCGACAATGCACTTCCAATTCCCCTGGTGTTGCGGGTGCTCATTGGCGATAGTAATCACTTACCATAAGTGAACCGCAAGCTAGTTTGCCCCCTATGCTGTAGAAAATAAAACTCTTTCTTAGTGTTATAACTGCTCAAGGCAGCGGCAATCATTTAACATAAGTTCTGCCGCAAGCTATTTTGTCCCCTATGCCGTAGAAAATAAAATTCATTATTGGTATTATAATAGTTTGTTTCCTTGTGTTACAGTTATGTGTGATATTAGAACCTATGCAAGAGCTAATGTCGCGGCACAAAGCGTACGCGCTCACGCCGCGGGATTGTCTCAAGACGACGCTCTTCCAGAAATGGCAGCGGATGGTAGCGCCGCCTGGTGAGTTATGCTCTCCTGGTACTTAATTAGATTTTAAGAAATAAAACAATGACAAACTGATTTTACCTAAATGTCATTTAACTAAAGTTAGTAATTCGTTTTATGGTAATTGCGTAAGGTTTTACAACAAATTACCAGAGTCTGTTATAAATCTGCTTGAAAAAGAAATGTCATCTTCCTTTGTAAAAATTTTTATTATAAAATTGAAAAGTTTGTTAACGATAATAATGTTTTATATTAATGTTTTATAGAAAAACTTAAAATTCATAGCGCTGACAATATTACACTAATAATGAGTGCGTAGCGATTTCTATTATGATTATCGCATGCCTCTTACTTGTTATACTGTAATTATTTATATAACAAAAAAATCTATTCAAAAGAGCAACAAACAAGTCTCTTGCTCATTCTTCTTGTGATGAATCTGCGTTCCGGATGAGTGGTGGAATCAAAATATGACTATTCAAAAGAGCTTATAATGAGTTTATTTGAATAAAGATTAATTATATTTCTATTTCTAAATGAGAAATAAGCTATAACATTCACTAGCTGTTTCAATAATTAAAATTTCAATAGATTAAAAATGAAATGGTGGGAAATACATATAAATGTCAGTAGCTAGTTTCAATAAATAAAAATACACAAAATATTAATATGATTTTTTTTTATGTTTCCTCAAAAGTATGTGGAAAAACGTCATATTTAACGTGCATATTTAACAGGCTCGGCTCTATTACACCTCGCGTTCGGCTCGGGCTGAAATTCCGCCTCGTGTGTTATAACCATCATAACGCACTTAATCGGGGATTTTAAATCCACGAAGTAAAGTAAAGATATAATTTATAGGTATACATACTACTAGGGTCATTGGTATTCTATTAAAAACTGAAGGTTTTTTAACCTATGATCCTAGTAGCTTCTTAAATTTATTCTTCTACAAATCACACACTAGTTAGTATAGCCTAATGTTTCTTAACATGTAGTCATATGTGTCTGACGGTAAGAAGTTCTATATGAGCCATGTCAGACATTGTGACGTACGCGATTTGGTAGAAGGCTACGGCAATCACAGATGTCCAACGATACATTTGCATTATGTTTCGAAAGCTTGGGCCTATCAGGAACATAACCTGAAAATTTCTTGGCTTACTACAAACAATAAAATGAAATAAATGAATCCCAGACATATAAGATAGACATGGCTTGTCGAGAAAAACAGTTTTAATATAGGGCCATGTCGGTATAATATATATGTGACATAAAAATTTGAGGTTTCCGGAAATTGTGGCAAAAAAAAAAATCTTGATACATTTTTAAATAAATTATCTAATAAAGTTACTATGGTCCATGTGAAAATTTGTCTGATATCAACGTGGCGATTAATGTGTTAAAAACCTAATATATAATTTCAGAATCGCAACGGCCGGCGAGCAAACGGCGTAAACGCAAAGGCAGCGCGGGAGCAAACGCCGCGCCGCCCGCGCCTGCCAAGAAACGCTCGCCCGGACCCAACTTCAGTCTCGCCTCGCAGGTATGCCGCCCTAGTACACGCTAATAGTACACCCTCTTGACTACAATCCTTAGTGGGGTTGTCAGGGGGAAAGACGATTGTTAGTAATGTAAAATAACCCCATTGTTACCGGATCCAGCTTTAGGCTCGCCTCGCAGATATGCTGCCCTAGTACACTGTAATCATATACCCTCATGACTATAATCCCTAGTGGGGTAGACAAGGGGAAATGCGACTGTTAGTAATGTATAATAACCCTTTTACTAGCAATGTACCCTGCGACAGCTAAGAAACGCTCGCCCGGACCCAACTTCAGTCTCGCCTCGCAGGTATGCCGCCCTAGTACACTCTAATAATACACCCTCTTGACTACAATCCCTAGTGGGGTTATCAGGGGAAAGACGAGTGTTAGTAATGTAAAATAACCCCATTGCTACAGGACCCAGCTTTAGGCTCGCCTCGCAGATATGCTACCCTAGTACACTCTAATAATACACCCTCTTGACTACAATCCCTAGTGGGGTTATCAGGGGAAAGACGAGTGTTAGTAATGTAAAATAACCCCATTGCTACAGGACCCAGCTTTAGGCTCGCCTCGCAGATATGCTACCCTAGTACACTCTAATAATACACCCTCTTGACTACAATCCCTAGTGGGGTTATCAGGGGAAAGACGAGTGTTAGTAATGTAAAATAACCCCATTGCTACCGGACCCAGCTTTAGGCTCGCCTCGCAGATATGCTGCCCTAGTACACTCTAATAATACACCCTCTTGACTACAATCCCTAGTGGGGTTGTCAGGGGAAAGACGAGTGTTAGTAATGTAAAATAACCCCATTGCTACCGGACCCAGCTTTAGGCTCGCCTCGCAGATATGCTGCCCTAGTACACTCTAATAATACACCCTCTTGACTACAATCCCTAGTGGGGTTGTCAGGGGAAAGACGAGTGTTAGTAATGTAAAATAACCCCATTGCTACCGGACCCAGCTTTAGGCTCGCCTCGCAGATATGCTGCCCTAGTACACTCTAATAATACACCCTCTTGACTACAATCCCTAGTGATGTAGTCAGAGGTGTTGTTGACTGGTGGTGAACACAAAACTAGCGTGCTGAGAATATTTAAGTCGCAATTTATTAGATTCGTTATTGGTGCTTCTATCACCAGAGAATCGGGCGAAAATAATAGTAATCTCAGGACAGTTAACACAACGCCATCTAGACCTAAAAGAATTTTTCTAAAGTAAAAGTAGCTTAAGTTACTACTACCTACTTATTACATCAGCTACCTACCAATAAAAGTCCCATCAAAATAGGTCCAGCCTTTCGGAGATTAGCTGGAATAAACAGATGTTTATCTGTTTATTGATATCTGAGACTGACCGAGAAAATTTAAAAAAAATGTTATTTTGGTGTATGTACCTATTTATATTATTATGTATGTAGTAAAAAATTGTGATTTCAATATTACAAACAGACACTCCAATTTTATTTATATGTATAGATAGTATAGGAGACATTTTTGACATTTGAATTATAATGTTATGAGATCCTGTTGTATATATTTTTGTGTCATATTACCATGCCCTTTCATGGCGTCACAAAAAAATTGTAAAAACTCAACCACACTCTGTATGCATGTACATCAATGTAAATCAATAATATATAAATAAATAAATGTTGTATTGTACTCTATTGCAGGACGTGATGGTGGTGGGGGAGCCGTCCCTAATGGGCGGTGAGTTCGGCGACGAGGACGAGAGACTGATCACCCGGCTCGAGAACACGCAGTACGAGGGCGACGGCGTGGAGTGGCCCGCGCCCCCGCCCGCCTCCCCCGCCAAGACTCCGCCGGGCCCGCACTGACGCCGCCCGCAGCCGCCTCACCCCGCTGCGGCCCTGGTACACTTGCTCCACTCGCAACGCGCCCACTTGGATATGTCAGATATAAATAAATAAATATAGGCCTTTACGGATAAATTATAATGTTGGATCTTTTATTTTTGATATCCCCATTTAAAAAAAATAAGATGTTTTTTCAAACACATCAATATTGGAACGAAATTCGAGAAAAATGCTTATTCCTTCTTAATGCAGCCGCCTCACTCCGCTGCGGCCCTGGTACACTTGCTCCACTAGCAAAACGCGCCCATTTGGATATGTCCGATATAAATAAATAAATATAGATAGGCCTTTACGGATAAATTATAATGTATCCAACACTTTTATTTTTCTTAATCCCATTTAAAAAAAATAAGATATTTCCAATCATAACAATATTGAAACTACAGTTGAGAAAAGAGCTTATTCCTTCTTAAAAGGCCGGCAACACACTTAGAACCGCCTCACTCCGCTGCGGCCCTGGTACACTTGCTCCACTCACAACGCGCCCACTTGGATATGTCAGATATAATAAATAAATAAATAAATATAGGCCTTTACGGATAAATTATAGTGTATCCAATCCTTTTATTTTTCTTAATCCCATTTAAAAAAAAATATTTTTTTAAAAAAAATAACCTATTTCCAATCTTAACAATATTGAAACTACAGTTGAGAAAAGAGCTTATTCCTTCTTAAAAGGCCGGCAACACACTTACAATCGCCTCACCCCGCTGCGGCCCTGGTACACTTGCTCCATTTGGATATATCAGATAAATAAAAATAGACCTTTACGGATAAATTACAATATTGGATCTTTATTTTTGTTAATCCCATTAAAAAAAAACTTTATCCCACGTTGTGGAGTGTATAGTGTTTCCGAAGCGATAGAATATTAAAAAGAGCCTCTTCCTTCTTAAATGACCGGCAACGCACTTACAACCGCCTCACCCCGCTGCGACCCTGGTTCACTTGCTCCATTTGCAACGCACCCGCTTGGATATGTCGGACACAAATAAATAAATTACGGATAAATTATTTTTATTATTATTTTGTTGGATTCTTTATTTTTATTATTCCATTTAAAAAAAAAAAGAAAAAACATATTCCCACAATGTGAAATCACCTTCCAGCAATAGTGTTTACGAACCAATACAATATAAAAAGAACTTCCTTAAATGATTGGCTATAACGCACTTACAACCGTCTCACCCCGCTGCGGCCCTGGTACACTTGCCCTACTCGCAATTCGCCTGACTTGGATATATGAGATACAAATAAATAAGTATGGGCCTTTACAGCTAAATTAAAAATATTGGATCCCTTGTTTACATTAAATTCTGAAGAAACTATGCCACATTGTGGAATCACCTTCCAGTAATAACGTTTCCGAACTATTGAAACGAAATTCAAGAAAAGAGGTTATTCCTTCTTAAAAGGCCGGTAATGCACTTGCAGCTGCTTCACTTCGCTGCGGTCCTGGTAGACTGACTCCACTCGCGACGCGCCCACTAGGCCTTTACGGATTATATTCGATCTTGGACTTTTTTTTTGTTAATCCTATTTAAAAGAAATATGAAGATTTTTTTCCAAACATAACCCCATCCCCACATTGTGGAATCGCCTTCCAGCAATGCTATTTCCGAATCGATACTACATATATTTAAACTTTCATGAAAAGAGCTTCTTAAAAGCCCGCCGCATTTGCAATTCTCCTGGTGCAGCGGGTGCGGGTGCGGGTGCGGATGGCGGTAATCAGTTCACATCAGGTGAGTGAGTATCTAGTAACTGTGTCCCATGTTAGGGGCCGTTCGAGTATCTAGTAACTGTGTCCCATGTTAGGGGCCGTTTGAGTATCTAGTAACTGTGTCCCATGTTAGGGGCCGTTCGAGTATCTAGTAACTGTGTCCCATGTTAGGGGCCGTTCGAGTATCTAGTAACTGTGTCCCATGTTAGGGGCCGTTTGAGTATCTAGTAACTGTGTCCCATGTTAGGGGCCGTTCGAGTATCTAGTAACTGTGTCCCATGTTAGGGGCCGTTCGAGTATCTAGTAACTGTGTCCCATGTTAGGGGCCGTTCGAGTATTACGTAAGCAGACTTATTACAATTATTTACCCCACAACAAGCCGTTCACGTGTATGACGTTCGAGACAGCTACATTGCACTCAAAGCCGCTGTTATCAAGTGAAACTTTTGCATTGAGCTTAAAAAAACAACAATTTATGATATCAAATAGATCGGTTTTAATTTTACAAATAACGTAAGTAACGTAACTTATGTTGAACCATTTTCATTCGTATTTCAAAAAAGAGTTCTATAATTTTCAATCCGTATGAACGCACTTTTGATTATCAAATACAAAATCACTTTGTTTCAAATTACGATATTCTAAACGCAGCCGTAGTAAGTCCACAATTCGACATTTGTTCCACACGTCACCGCTGACGTCTTTCGGAGCGTTCGAAACTAAGAATATGTATTAAAAAGTAATTCTTACTTTATAGTTTGAAAAACAGAAAATTAAATAAATGACAGACGGAAGTAGTATCTTATACTTATTTATACAATTAATTTTATATTATATATTTTTAATTTTTGATCTGTCGAAATTAGAACATTAACTTGTCAGATTCATATTGGTATTTACAGAATTTGAAAACGTCAATCACGTTTTTAAGTTTCGAACGTCATCATAAAATACGTGTCGCCCGTACTGTTTGGTTGTTAATTTGTTAATAATATTTTATTTCTTATTTTAGGTCACAAATAATTATTAAAAGACTGCAAAATGGTCACAAAATATATTACGGCTTTATTCTTTATCGCTTTCTGTAGCATTTCATATGCGCAGAGTTGCCAAAATCCTAAAGTTGATGCCGCCTCCTTCACAAGTTTAGATGCCACGGTCGTGACACAAATAGCTTATATCACTGAATTTACACTGAAATGTGACAATCCTCTACCTGAAAACTATGCTCTCTATGCTGAAGTGGAGGGCAGGCCGTTGACTGCAGCGCGTATTGGAGAAAATAAATATCAGGTGAGTTTTACCATTTTACTCGTCAAACACTACTTTCTAAATGAAAGTGTACATTTTTCTACCTATATAGTGGTATTAAAACTCCTATGCAGCAATGATATTAAAAATTTATCCGAGAAATGGCGGTAGAAATATATTGTATTAAAATAGACACAGTGAAATGTAGGTATGTCAAATCAAAATACTGCTAACACAGCAACAGGTTTGGCAGTGTTAACCTGAGACTGGTTCTTCAACCATGCATGAGTTTTTCTGTCTTACCAAACACTTATACAAAGTTTATGTTTTAAATTTGACTACATAAACATCTAAACTCTATGTGTGTCATATCCACTCAAAAAAAATCAAAATATCTTTATTCTACGAACTGATGCTAGTGTTCGACATATCATAAGAGTCTAATAGGTAGGTCTATTAGACTCTTATGATATGTCGAACACTACCATCAGTTCAGAGAACATTATGAAGAACTAATAACTGTCAAGAAAGTCAGCTCTTATTGTTTTCAAATATACTTGTACATGTACAGATTCATTTTTAAATTCAAATTACAGAAAATAAAGTGACCATCTTTACGGAGAATAAAGTGACCACCTGTTGGCATATGTTATTACAATTTTGTCAAAAGGATAAAGTCTAATCAGTATTAAGTTCCCATCTGTGCATAAGTATGACAGATAAGCCAGCCATCATTCATAAACAATATTAGAGGTGGCACCTCGACCTGGCCCAACATGCTGCCACAAGTTTGAAGTTTATAGCGAGCATGACTGTTCACTATGTCATTTATCATATTTAGAGCATAGGCTGTAACAATCACAGTTTGAACTGAATGCTGAAATTTTGTGTTTAAAAAAACTAAGTTATGGCCGTTTTGCACTACTCCAGCAGGAAATTCAGTAATTTATTTGTGGGTACAGTTGTTTGGTCTTTATTGTTACTGTTTTCTCTTTTCTCTTTCAATCTGTTAGTCCACTGCTGGACATAATTGACTCTTGCATAATTTTCCACTGTCTTTGATTCTCAGCGCATCTTGTCCAGGTCTGACCTGCTATCTCAGGCCTTTTTTTCAAATTCTCATTCAAAGCCTTTTGGCAATCTAACAAAAATATTTAATTAAAAGTTTAAATGAAATGTTAGTTATATATGTTGTTACTTAATTCGGCACATCAGTCTGTGAGTCAATGTGTCCTTTAGATACAAAGACTAACAAAGACAAAGACTCCTTTTTTAGTTAGGTTTAATTTTGTTTTTATTGTCTATTGTGTGCTGAGAATGCAAATGAAATAGTTACCTATCTATGTATATAGTCCACCAATGTTTTCTGCTATATTTCAAAATAACAATCCACAATAAAAACATAGCAGGATGCAGATTCCAATTCAACTTTAATATAAAAATGTACTTATGTTACAGGTGTCATGGACTGAAGAACCAACAAAAGCCCGCGCTGGTCTCCATGAGATCCATGTCCTGGATGAGGAAGGTTGGGCGTCTCTGCGCCGTGCCCGCCGTGCTGATCCCGCTGCCACTGTTTCTCCACTATTGGCTATCCAGCTTCAACACCCTGGCAGTTAGTATACTTCTTAACATCTATGATGTCTTGGTATCTAAGGAAGATATGACAAGAATCTAAGCTCGTATTCTTTTCAAATAAATGTTGTACATGTTTACAATAATACAGATTCATTTTTAAATTCAAATTTGGGAGCATATGATATTGCAAAAGAAAATAGTCTAATCAGTGTTCATAACCCGAACAGACTAGTCCCCACAAGCAGCATCCGTTCATGAGTATGACTGATGAGCCAGCCCTCATTGCACTCAAACTTATTAGACACATTGACTAAAAAGGTTGCTCACACCTGTCATACACAATTTTTATTGTTTAGGATGTTTTCTGTTTTTTAGTGGCATAATAGGCAACACTACCCTCTTGCCAAAGAAAAAAAAATGTACTAAATTTATATTTTTAATTTCATTGACAGGCTACTCGGGACCCTGGGTAAACTCGGAGATCCTGGCGACCGGTCTGTCGATACTGGTTGCGTACGTCGCTCTCCGCAACAAAAGCAAAATCCTAGCATAATTTATAGTTTGTTATTTTATATTAAATGAATTTTAATTTTTGGAAACACTCATGTTTTTTTTTCCTGTGACACAGCATGTTGTTTTGAGTCACGTCACATAGTTTATTAGACACTACTGTTCTGTGTAGTATACAAAAATATAATAAAATTCTTAATAGTAAAAAATACATTCATAATTACACTTAACAGTATATGAACTATAAAAGTAAGTGGCCAGTACGTCAGTAACACAGCCCATAAGATACTTTAGCAGTATATATGAACTTAATTTTGTTTAGTATATATTGAATGTTGCACATTTTCGAGTTACATAAGCTCATAAAAAGCATCAAAATAAAAATATCTTTATTGATGTAGGTCTATTATAGACGCTTATGATATGTCAAATCTACCGCCATGCGCCAGTTCGGAGAGAGCATTCGAACTAATAACTGACAAGAAACGGCTCTTTTAAAATGTGCTTGTTCAGGATTATAGATGTACAAAGTCATGCATTTTTCTCTAAAGGAGATATTCTAATCTGCGGCTGTAACCCGAACCGACCAGTCCCCACAAGCTCATCTATATATTTATTATATATATTACAACAGCTTATAACTTTTCGACAAATATCTTCTGTACCTATCATAATTACCAGTTAACATGCTACCACTGAAGTTACCATATTTCCCTAATTACCGGGAATCGCTCATGTCCCGACTTTTGACGTTTCAACAATTTTCAAAGTAATCTGTGCTATATAAACTTTCGTAAAACTGTCATACCTGCTCTGTGGTTAGGTGTCAATTTCAATTTGTGTATACATGTATACGCTTGCTTCTAAATATATATGAATATTTAAAATGTTATAAATAAATAAGTATATGCAATTTTAAATCTGCATAAAAGATATTTTTTGCAAATTTATAACGTAAGTAATATTAGTCGCTAATGAAATCATTATATTTAAAGATACAGGATCTACAAGAGTGTATATTTAGTACGATTCTTATTGCATTATTATGTTCTTAGAATTTTGGCTATTACTTGGTATATTGTATGGGTTTCAATACAAATAAATAACATGCCTTGTATTAAAAACATTAGTACTATATAATTATTTTTGTATTTGCCATTAAATGAAAACATTTCTTTAAAAAAACGCGTACGTATGCCGGGTATTCAAATTCCACTATCCAGTGGTTCCCTTGGCATATTATTGTTATATTTCTATGAAATTAGTCTTATTATATCATATTAACTATTGTCAGTTATTTTGTGTACTTTTTTTTATGTAAGTAGTTTTATTTTTTGACACAATCTAAGAGCACATCAATTTCATTCCCCTATTGGAGCTCTCACACTAAAGTTGTAACCGTCAGGCAGGACTTCCTGCTTATAGACCGTAGTATAAATCCTATCGCGGGTTTGGAGTGCCCTCTCCACTCATCCCCATTTCAATTCAGTGATTCAGTAATGGTAGCTACATCATACAGCATTAGAATACTTAAGAAGAATATAGTTTTTACTGCAAATTAACCCTTCGAATGTTTTGACACAGATCTGTGCACTCCTCTTAAACCATATTACCGTCTTGTCACAGATCTGCATAACCCTGATATCTTTTTAACCAATTTTATCCTTATTTAAAACAAAATAAGACTGAAACACATTTGAAAAAATACTGTATTTTTTCAGTATACAGCCACTTCACTTTCAGTCGCAGTGACAGACAACGGACATTCGAATGGTTAAATGAGCTGTTTTGAATAAAGTCTCCATCATATAAATTTATATTTATTTAAATTACTTTATGAACTAAATAAAACATTGTAGACTTATACTAGAAGCATTATCTAACAGTCAACTTTTGGAATGAACAGTGGTAGATGAATGTGATACTTAATAAACAAAATTGTATTTGTAATTTTTTTTTAATTAAAATTTCAATAATTGTACTATAATTCGAGTAGTGTGACTATGACTAATACATTGACTATACAACTCTTTATTTAAAAATACACACTAATTATACAAAAATATGGTCTAAAATCATTTACAGATAACACAATATCTCAAACCATGAGTACAGATAGAGTATTTATAAAACAAGAACCATCAGAGCCCCAAAATGGGAACATTCAAATCAAACAAGAACCAGAATCACAAGAAGAAACTGCTATGAAAAAACACAATGAAAATAATGCTATCAAAAATGAATATAATACAAAAATTGAGATAGAAATTGAAATTAAATGTGATAAGGAACATAATGTATTCATTAAAGAAGAACCAAGAGATGATTTGGATTCAAATTATAAAGATAACGAACCGGAAAATGATGGAGAATATTCCACTGAAAATAATGATAAGGAGAAACCAACAAATTCATATGAATACTGTGTTATAAAGCAAGAAGTTAATGCAGAGGGTGTGCCATGCAATAGTGAATATTTAGCAGACAATAAATCCAAGTGGTTACCAAAACAAGGATTTAATGATAATGAAATTAAAAATATACCAGGATTGTCAAATTCAGAAGATTCAAGGCCTTACGGTGATGATGCTGGGATTAATGATGAACTGTCAGGTAAGGTCTTCAATTTTTTATTTTAATGGCTTTTGAAATGATATCTAAATGAATGAGATAGAAGAGGCAGATGATGATAGAATGTAGATCTCCCCTGAAATTGAATTAATTCAACATCAATTCCCAAAATAAACCTTGATTTCAGGTGAAGATGACGATGCGGCCGCGCAGGAGAGAAGCGACTCCTGTGAGAAATATTCCTGCAATATTTGCAGTGAGATGTTCATGGCGCATAGTTTGATTAAAATCCACGTATTAGAGCACACAACCGAACATCTAACACAGACAGACGAAAAGCAGTACAGTTGTGACCCATGCAATAAGTATTTTGTTAGGAAACAGAACTTAAAACAGCATATGATCGTTCATATCACGGAAAAACCATACAGTTGTCATGTATGCAATAGTACCTTCGCCAGGCCGCTTAGTTTAAAATACCACTTGCGCATCCACACAGGAGAAAAGCCGTACAGTTGTAATGTGTGTAATAAAAAGTTTAATCGACCGCAGAATCTGAAGAATCACATGCAAATGCACACAGGTGAAAAACCGTACAGCTGTGACGTGTGCCATAAATTTTTTGCACGCAAGGAAAACTTAAAACACCACATGCATATACACACAGGTGAAAAACTTTACATATGCGAAGTGTGTAAAAAGGAGTACGCGAATCGGCACAGCTTGAAGTGTCACATGCAAGTACACACGGGGGAGAAATTGTTCACATGCGAATATTGCAAGAAGAACTACGTAACCAACGGCAGTTTGAAACTACACTTGCTCATCCATGCCAAGAAGGAGAACAAAAACTTTTGCAGCTTATGTAAAAAGAGTTACACGTCGAAAGAGAGCTTGGACGAACACATGGTGATACACGCAGACGAGAAACCCATAATTTGCGAGGTGTGTGAAAAAACGTTCACCACAAAACGCTCCCTGAAAAACCATAGGCGCATACACACGGGTGAAAAACCGTTTGCATGTGACGTGTGCGACAGAAAGTTTGCGCTAGTGCAAAACTTGAAACATCACAAGCGTGTACACACGGGGGAAAAACCGTACGCATGTGATGTGTGTAAACAGTGTTTCTCAAAGAGCGAACATTTAAAACATCATAAACAGGTGCACACAGGAAAGAAACTGTACAGCTGTAAAGTGTGTCAGAAAGAATATGCCAGAAGCGAGAGCCTAAAATATCATATGCACACCCATACAGGTATAAAACCGTTTTCGTGCGGATTATGTAATAAGTCGTTCACTACAAATCAAAGATTGAAATATCATGCCAATTCACATAAGGAGAAAAGTGAATTAAATTAATTGTAGTAAGGCTGACGATATACAGTTGGTTAGTCGTCAGGTTTCTCGAATAGAAATTTGTCTTTATTTACATAAATTTAATATATTTATTTCATTCAATTCAGAAACCAGATACAGTCAAAAATAATGAGCAAGAAACTCGTGTGTTGTTTTTAAACAAATATTCATTACATTAATACTTTGTTTGAACACAAACTACTAAATAGTGCCAATTCTTAGGAGTAAAGTGTTAACTAGATAGGTATTCGAGTAATAAAATAAATAAGTCATAACTAAAACATCAGTGCAGATCGCTCCATAGATGTTCTTTATCAGGTTTAATCCAGATGGCCCATACTAATGAAGCCGTATGATTGGTACATTTTTTAAAAGGGTGGGTCGGTTACAGCGTGTTCCCCAATAGCCTTTACACGTACGAAGAAAGAATGAGCATATATATAAATATAAATCTTAAACGTGTCTATGGGCAATAAAGGATAAATTTTTAAATGGAAGTGCATGAAACGAGCGAAAGGGTGATCACAAAAAATACTTCAATGCAATCACTAACAATTACGTTTGACTTTATGCTGTAAAATAATAAGCGTTGTTGGCACGGGCCGTCCGGTTTGATCCTGAACCTGAAATCTGTGGGCGGCGACTGATATTCCGCTGAACTCTAAATGACGTATCCTAACGACTAATCAACTATATCAGTAAGTAAACCTAAGTATCTCGTACAAGCATGTGATAAATAGAATTTTAATTTAAAACAACACATTACAAAATCTTAACATACAATTAGTAAAAATCACGAGTTCTTACCACGTTAGATTTTTATTGAGTTCCTTATATTTTTTCAAATTATGACCACGTTTTTAAAACAGTCCCAACAAACGCTATTTTTAAACTTTCGTGATCTAACAAACTCTATTTAAAAATTTTTCGTATGTAATATTTCTATTTTTAACCGGGTGTTAACACGAATAATTTTATGGTAAATAAAGGTAACCTTTCTCGACGTTTCGACTAGGCTGTTCTAGCCGTGGTCACGTGGTTAACGATATAAATAAAAACTACAAAATCTGAATAATATATGTTAGAATTATCCGCAGTGTGATATTAAGAAAGTTAATAATAATAATAATTTGGACAATTTATTATTATTATTATTTACTTTCAGTTTCTGTTAACAGAGCGCCATCTAGTTCCAAGTTAAGGAGAGCTAGTGATTTCACTGCCTTATTATTTTTGACGGTCTCGGTGGCCTAGCGGTTTAGTACACCGGTTTACTTCCGGCGAAGTACACCGCTTTACTTCCGATGGTCGCGGGTTCGATTTCTAGCACGGTACAAACATTTGTATTCATGAGTATCGTTATTTGTATCGGTCTGGATATTTTCTATATGTATTATGTATGCATTTACAAAAAAATCTAAGTATTTGCATCAGTTGTCTATCATTACATAGTATAAAACAAAGTCGCGGTCGCTGTCTGTTCGTCCCTATGTATACTTAAATCTTTAAAACTACGCAACGGATTTTGAAACGGTTTTATTAATAGATAGAGTGATTCAAGAGGAAGGTTTATATGTATAAAACATGTACCCCCGGGCGAAGCTGGGGCGAGTAGCTAGTTATCTATAACATAAGCTTTGCTTACCGCACAACTAGATGGCGCTGTGTTAATTGTCCAGGGTTATTTATTTATTCATACCTTATGACCGAAACCGCTTACAAAGTAAGCTGCTTGAAGGCAAAAGTAGGTGAGACTGAGGTACCCATGCAGGCAATTTTTTTTCACAGAATATATGTATATACCTCGGTAAATATTATTAAGATGTACAATTATTTATATATATATGCATCAGATATCATATATTAGAATGAACATATAAGAGATAAATATGGAATTAAAGTGTTGTATAGAAATTATTATATTTATACATAAATAGATATACTATTAAGTTTGAATTAGTTTAATTTGAAGCTTATTTATATTGAATTTGGTGTCATAATTAAAGACAAAATTGGAGTTGTGTCGCAATATTTAAACAGAATGATGGAAGATCGTGGAAAGTGGCAAGAGCTCGACCGACAAGAGTGGCTCTTAAATTATGAAAGAGTATATATATATATATATATAGTACAAACATTATTGTAAACCATACGGATACTGATGTAATACTGATAAATGTATTTATTATTATTATTTAAATTCTAGACATGTATAGATATTTAGTATATTTTAATTTATGAGATAAAAGTGAACCTAATTTTAGTAATTTGTTGTTTTATTGTATTGTTAGTTGTTTTATTGCTTGCAACTTCTTGGGCATAAAAAAGCATACCTAATTTCACTCCCTTCCAAATTATTTAAAAAAGATTATGTCCGTAGTTGAGAGTCCTGAAATGTTTTCAAAGCACTTTTCATTAAAATCCGTTCCACCGTTTATTTGTAAAGGTGACAAATACTTCCACATTAAACCCTCTGATCGACCGGCGAATTGAACGAAATTACGACGGCCTGACCTGAGGTTTGAATCCCTAGCGGTGGTCTACATATCCGTCAGGCGGGAGTTGGCCTCCATTAGTCCTTCCTTTGACTTGGAGTGCCATCTGCATTCGCCCCCTATCGGATAATGGCTCTGGGCAACCCATATAGTGGAGTCCATTTATTTCCGATGGTCATTCTTTCGATTCTAGCACTATAAAAATGTTTGATTTGGTCTGAATATTTTCTATGTATAATATACATAGGTACAAGTATTTACAAAGTAAAGTGTATTTCTATAAGTTGTCTAATCTTCATGACAAATTAATCTATAACTCACAAGTCACACAATGGCCCTGGCTCCCCATGGTGCATCTAAGGAATGTGAAACAAACTGCCGAAACAAACTTAACAATTTTATTAAAAGACTAAATATTTATTTTTTTATTACATAATTCACAATTCACTTTATTTAGTTCCTAACATACATGTCCTATGAAATAAACTATAATACACCATTTCATGTTCATTTAGCTTGTGAAGTCTCTGACTGCTTGTGTTTGTTGATACAATCTTTAAAATTATTCACTTCTGACTGACACTTCCTCCAGTCCTTCGTAGTAGCTATGCACTCCTGGTAACATAGAAATTTCTAAAAATATATTTATTAAAAAAAGTCACGAATGAATGAGTGAATTCATTCATCTTTAATTTATTTTATGTAATTGGAGTAGCAAACAAGCTGGTAAGTGGTACCTGATGGTAAGTGGTAACCACTTTTTTTTATGATAATGCAATGGTACAACCGTCTGTGCTAATGGTATACACTGATGGGGCACAGGTGGAGGATGATAAGATGAGTATGAGGTCAGGTCCGTTAGTCCATTCAGACTAATTTTCCAGGAATTTATCAGGATGGTTTCCTGGCGGAACTACCGTCTACCTCTTGTTACGAATGTGTATGTCCCTGTTTTTCTATAGCTAATGATGGCATATATATTGAACGTTTCCTCTATAAGCCAGTCATCTTGTGTACATGTTTTTCCAGAACCTCCAGCCTTCATCCAAGACCTCATCTATTCATCACATTAGCTGAGATAAAAGATATGAAATATGAATATTCTGGTAAACAAAATTTATCTTTATTACCTGTACTTTATAGTGTAATTCTAAACAACCAGTTCTTTTAAGCATGGACTCCACAGGGTCGTCATCAGCATCAGTTGTCTTATCACGGTGGGTTATAGTCATTTTGTGTAATAAAATGGAAATATTATTAAAAAGAAGTGTAAATTTTAAATTACGAATTTCTTTCTACTGCTAAAAACACAGAGCACTAATAGATAGGAGTGATAAATAAATGACAGCTGACAGTGACAGTTTGTTATTGAGTTAGAAATTTATATGCATTAAAAACGTACGATACAAAATTAATCCAATAAAGTCGTCCCTCCGTGTAACTAGAATGAGCACTTGAGTGTAAAGTGAATTAGAATGTTTTTAGAAATATTAATATTTTTTACATATTTGTAAACTTCATACAAGCAATTTGTAAAGACTACTATTTTCCATAACATCTTGTGATGTACCCGAACCGTTTACAAATGAATAAATTATTATTTCATTAAAAATACTTGTATATTACTACTATCGGGTGTACTTTTACCTGCTGTTTGTCCATGTTCTAATTCACCAAATAAAAACTCTTTCCAGGTACGACTAGCTGTTTTAAATGGTAAAACTGGTATAAAAATGACAGCATAAATTATCATAGGTCAAATAAATACACTATACATAGATGCTCTATATTTGACAATGGCTGTATGGGCTGAGTCCTTTTGCCTTTTCCTGTGACGGCAAAAATTGAACCAAAAAAAAGTAGGTGTATTATTTATTTTGATATATTGAAAACAGTGAGGTTATAATTATTTCTTATTAAGTTTTTTGTTTACAATTGCACAAAATGTATAGAAAGTTAAAGTTTACATATTTAACAATTAATGCAAACTTCTCCACTAGAGTAGCAATAGATGCTACCATCAAAGAAAATTTCGATACGAAACAGTTCAAACCTAGGAAACATCCGGGAACAACTCGGGTAAAGACAGCTGCTGTGCCCCCAGACATTCAGAAGGCGATAAAAATAATAATAGAAGATACTGGAGCGAAATCTATGTACCAGGATAGCATAAAATTAAGCAATTATCTCCGTTCAAGGCTACTACCACCGGAGGACGACGACATTAATGCGAAAGCTACTAAAATCTACGATAGTGTTTCTAAAAAGTATCGTTCTAACATTAATGAAGAATTAACAGTTGAAGATGAGAAATACAAGAAAAAGATAGAGACATCAGTTTTTAACGTGCTTAAAAAGAATGTTTACAGGTGGGGTAATATTTCATATGATAAACCTACATGCTTGCAGTATTTAATGGCGAGAGCTGCTCCCGAATATGCTATCCTGGTACGTGTGTTGGATGAAATTAGAAAAAAATACCCAGATTATATACCGCGCAGCTTCTTTGATTTCGGATCTGGTGTTGGGACTGGTACTTGGGCCATAAACAATTTTTGGCATGGAGATATATTCGAGTATTTTTGTGTAGACACGTCTCAACATATGCATGATTTGTCTCGTCTAATACTGTGCCAAGGCAAAGACAATGTGGAGTTCCCATTTAAGAATTACTTCCAAAGACAATTCTTACCTGCTTCTTCCGATTTGAAGTACAGCATAGTGTTATCCGCTTACACACTATTCGAAATGCCAAGTATGAAGAGTCGGATGGAAACAATACAGAAGTTGTGGAATAAAACGGAGGAGTTTTTAATAATAGTCGAGCAAGGCACGAATGCTGGGTTCCGAATTGTAAATGAAGCTCGCGAGTTTATATTAAATTTGCCAAAGGATAAGAATAGTGGTTATGCATTTTCTCCATGCCCAAACGATAATGTCTGCCCGAGATACTTAGAACATCAGACTCCATGTAATTTTATAATGAAGTACGAACCACTACCGATTTCGTCCAAATCGGAAGTAATGGCAGATCTGTTTTCATATGTAATTTTAAGGAAAGGTGCCCGTCCATCTGACGATCCCCAATGGCCGCGGGTTGTACGAGCTCCAATCGTCCGTTCTGGTCACACCATTTGTAAATTATGTACAGCACAAGGGGAATTGAAAGAAATCATATTTTCTAAGGCCAAATACGACCAAACTACGTACAGATGTGCGAGATCCAGCAATTGGGGAGATTTGTTACCTGTAAAATAAAGTTGTAATATATAAATAATTTTTATTTTATTTTATAGTTTTTAAAACATACAATTTTGAAAGAAAGAGAGAAGCATGAGTCCGAATGGAAATTAAAACTCATTTGATTGACATCACAATTATTCGATCAATCAATAAATTATACTATATGATATGTTAAAGGGGTAAGAGGTCGATGAAGTGTGACAAGGGGAATGAGGGGTCGATTAAGTGTGACAAGGAGAAAGGGGGGGGGGGGTCGACAAAGTGTGACGAGGGGAGGGAGGGGTCGACTAAGTGTGACAAGGAGACGGAGGGAGGTTGAAAAGTGTGACAAGAGATAGGAATGGGTCTTATATTTCGCATGGAGACCCGTGCCACGAATAATTTGAAGCTCGCGTTGTGACTCGATTCCAGTTGCGTCACCCTCAAGTTTATGTTAGTCTTCATCCGGATATAGTGGACGATGTCTTCTTCCTTGGTGGCGTAGTAGGCGGATGGAAGGGTACTCCTGCCTGCGCTGGCGGGGCACCAGAGGAGGATGATAGCCCGTGAAGTCAGAACTGATTATAGTGCTGAATTAATGATAACTATTTCCAGGCGATTGCGTGTAGGTGGTATATTGCGAGCAAATAATCCGTTAGGCCGCGTTATTAACAACTAGCTTTTGCCCGCAGCTTCACTCGCGTTAATTTCAAATCAAAACCCTTTCTTAGGGGATGCCTACGTCATAGTAGCTTTATGCATGCAAAGTCTCAGCCCGATCGGTTTAAAATTGACAAAGTTTCATACAAACTTTCATCCCCTATTTTATCCCCTTGGGGGTAGAATTAATCAAAATTCTTTCTTAGCGGATGCCTACGTCATAACATCTACCTGCATGCCAAATTTCAGCCCGATCCGTCCAGTGGTTTGGGCTGTGCGTTGATAGATCACTATGTCGGTCACCTTTGAGTTACCTATATATATTTAGATTCCTTTCTACCTCCAGTATTGTTTTAAGGTTGCAATTATGATACGTCACTGGTATTCTTTAAATTATTATTGTTAAAAAGAATACTAATGAGAGCATATAATGATGTTTTGTTAACGTAACACTTGGAATTTTCCTGATATACTGAAGATTGATTAAGATTTATTTGTTTATTTTAAACTATCTACTCGCCCCGGTACATGTAGTATATGTATAAACCTTCCTCTTGAATCAAAATTCAAAAATCATTTATTCATGTAGGACATTTTAGCCGCTTATGAACGTCAAGTTTTTACATTATAATTTTTTTTCCCTACCGTCCAGTTCGGTATATAGATCCAATTGAGAAGAACTGGCAAGAAACTCAATTGAATTCCATTTTTTTTAATCACTCTATCTATTAAAAAAACCGCTTCAAAATCCATTGCGTAGTTTTAAAGATTTAAGTAAACAAGGACGGACAGATCGCGACACCGACTTGTTTCCGGTTGTCTTTGGATTTCACTAGAATCTTCTTTTTAGATTTGTCATCTTCCTCGCCCAGTAATCTCTGTAATAAATTTTAATTTACATTTATTAATTAACTAGCTCGGCCCGGCTTCGCCCGGGTGTACATGTATTATACATAGGAACCTTCCGCTTGAATCACTCTATCTATTAAAAAAACCGCTTCAAAATCCGTTTCGTAGTTTTAGAGATTTAATAATAATAATAATATCTCAGGACAATTCACACAGCGCCATCTAGTCTCAAGGTAAGCAGAGCTTGTGTTATGGGCACTAGACAACTGATATAAATACATGGATATTTGTTTTTTTGTTGTAAATAAATACATATTATACATAGAACACCCAGACCGATACAAACAATCATACTCATGAATACAAATGTTTGTACCGTGCGAGGAATCGAACCCGCGACCATCGGATAGTAAAGCGGTGTGCTAAACCACTAGACCACCGAGGCTGTCATTTAAGCATACATAGGGACGGACAGACAGCGACAGCGACTTGTTTTATATTATGTAATGATACATAATGCGTTAAGTAATTAACATCCTTTTTGAAGGTTGACCTGGAACCACTGAAGACATTTTTATGTATTATAATTGGAACGGAAAATATGTTGACAACCTACCTGATGGTAAGTGGCAGTTATAGATATACAAATAGGCAATATAGGCAGTGTCCTAGGGGCGGCAGATTTTAGAGGGAGGACTGTCTGATTTGAGACTATAAAAATGAAACACGTTCACTTGTTCTCTCATGATTTTTTATACTTTAAATAAATCCCTATAGAAACTGATTCCTGAAACCTATATTATCGCGTGTGTGATAGATGAGGGCAGCAGTTTATTTAGTTTAAGACCTATACTTACTTACTTTACAAAAGGAAAATAATTATTTTAGAAAGGTATATAAATGGGGCGGCGGAAATAAAGTGACCTACACTTATATATATAAATAATTCGAGTGTCTGTTTGTAATATTGAAATAACCGTTTTTTACTACATGCATATAAATATAAATACACCAAAATATCATTTTTTACAATTTTTGTCTGTCTGTCTGTTAGTTCCGGCTAATCTCTGAAATGGCTGGACCAATTTTGATGGGACTTTTTTTGGCAGATAGCTGATATAATGAGTAACTTAGGCTATTTTTGTCTTAGAAAAATAAAGTTAAATTCCACGCGGACGAAGTCCCGTACAGCTAGTAAAAAATATAAATCCGGCACTGGTAAGCAGTAACACCAACTCTAAGTAATCTCCTGCCAATTTACATTTCTAACTAACTCTAGAAACACCGATAACAAACCAATGTGACGGCGGTAAATACATACCGACGGGGATGGGGATTGTTAGTAATGCTATGTATGTAATATTATATTATCTGTGGTAATGCTATGTAATATTATATTATCTGTAGTAATGCGGACTGTTCACCTCGACGCGATACCCCCTGGAAACTATTGTGGTAAATTGCCATTTGTCAAGAGGGATTAACTGACCTGACTTCATGCTCGTTTTATCCTCCACTGGTGTTTTACGCATGCCCCCGCATGCGTATACCGTTGGTGCAGGCTGGTGCATCATTCCATTATAATTCGTTAAAAAAACGTCACAATTTTAGGTCCTAGTTCTCATATGTTCCCTGTTCAAAATCTACCCTGTAACATCGTAAGCACAGATTATTATTTTAGAGTCCGTTAGTTTGTGTTCCCGCGGTTTCTGTTCCCCTCCCTTACCTAGTACTGAACTGACCGTACAGCGGCCTTGACGCGCGCGCACATTTTGTTGTGAATTAAAATAAATTAGAACTGTGTTAAACCTACTGTGAAACTGGAAAGCTAGCGAAGATATCTTCGAGACCCTGAAGCCCAAGAAATCCGCAGAACCATACAGGTACGTGACAGACGTTTCCACACATATTTTTCCCTATATATATACATAGTACTTTCCCTAACATTTTGGTAGCAGAGCGTAGTTTCCCTACCATTCCCATTTATAATAATAATAATATCTCAGGACAATTCACACAACGCAATCTAGTCCCAAGCTAAGCAGAGCTTGTGTTATGGGTACTAGACAACTGATGTAAATACATGGATGCATTTTTTTTTGTGAATAAATACATATTATACATAGTAAACACCCAGACCGATACAAACAATCACACTCATGAATATAAATGTGTGAGGAATCGAACCCACGACCACCGGATAGTAAAGCGGTATGTGAAACCACTAGACCACCGAGGCTGCCATTCCGAAGACTTAAGGTGTTATGCCTCTGGTAATTTGACTACCATATTTTACCCTTTAAAGATAGCATACAAAGCAATCTGACGGCAAAATTTTGGCGGCTGAAATAGGTGAGACAGCGGTGCCAACACAGAGATATATAGAACGTCGATCTCGATAGATTTATGAAATTTGTTGCATCTCTATATAATTTGTGTTTATAAAAATCCATTGAAAATACAAAAAGTGGCCGATGGCGTAATATCCAAAGCATTAAAAATGTTTACATAAAATTGAGTCAGAAACTGATTTTATAGATTCGAGTCAATTAACGTACCATTTATAACTAGAATCTAATGAAAAGCAAATGGTAGGGGATAATTAGTGTAAAATTAATAGCCTACGTTACCTGACGTAGACACAATACATTATTGAACAAACACGAATGGCATGCGCGTTGCGTAGTACATTTTACAATAAAACTCATTCATTATTCATTTACTCTCCGATCTTTGATTAAACTACGTGCATTTTTTGGCGGGAAAAACATTTCAGGAAATGTTTGCAATCGCTACGCAAAAGTTGGCGATACCGTTCATTTGTACAGTACAGTTTTTGGTACTGTTATAATTCGTATTTGTGAACACAAGATGGAAACGCGAAGTTTGAAGTGTATAGTAATATTTTTATTTATCTTCAATACAATCTACAAAGTCAATGGCGGTGAGTTTTTTTGTTTGAATAAATCAACGTCACAGACAATTAAAATATACAGCTTTGTTTTTTAATGATCTTGTACAGCCTTGTGCCTATTTATTACTGCTTCTGTACACGTAAAGTGACTTATATTTAAACTTAGAATCTCATATATTTTATTTTATAAATGTTTTAAATTAGAATGAATAACTTTTTTTAGTTTAGATTTATATGTTAAGTCAAAACCCCACATGTCATGTCGAATAGGAATTTTTGACTGTAGTATAACTTTTTAAAAATCGCATAACAATTTGTCAAACTTAAGTATGGTCTAAATTGAACATAGTGATGTCTGGCTTATCTATAGTAATATTATACAGTGAAAAGATTTGCTTGTTTTCATTGAATAGAATTAGAAATAATCTTTATATGTTAATATTATTTCTATTTCTATCTCTATCTAATGAACCTAACATAAAACACTATAAATATATATAATAAGCACTTTTGATAAGTCACATTTTTTTTATTCTACCACTCATTTGGAAAGCAGACTCATGACCAGAAGAATGTGCAAGAAACTTGCGTGTTACTCTTTTAAATAAATGTTGTTCGAAGTAAACACACATTAACAAGGATTAGGCATGCAACAATCAACATAGAAACCGCTACGCACTCAATCTTTGTTAAATCAGATAACACTATCAGCGCTATGACTTTTAAGTTAGATATTTTCTACAAAAACATTATTATCATTTAAAAACTCTTAAATTTTATTATATACTGTTTTATAAGATATTTCAATCTTTTTTCTGGCAAATTGAGGACACAGCAGTTTGTTGTAAAACCTTACGCAGTTTCCTTAAAACAAATTACTAACAAAAGTTAGTAATTTGTTTTGCAAAAGCCAAACGACACATAGGAAAAACTAGTTTGTTGTAATTACGTAAGCTTTAACTAGTGTACTCATTAACTTTTTTTAAATTGTCAATATTTTTCCTGGCATACATAATATTTTCGTAAATGTATTGAGAAGCAACGGTGAGGATATTTGATTCTTTAAAACATTCACACAAAGACTCCTTGGAACCCATACCGTAAATGGAGCGGATGGCCCTCTTCTGTTTTTTTTTCGGACTACACTAATGCTGTTGGCCGCAGCTGGCCTTTACAGCTTCACTGGACGATAGGGGGCGAGTGCAGATGGCACCAAACCAAAGGAAGGACTTATGGAGCGGCTGACGGCCAACTCCCGCCTGACCGATACGACTTTAGTCTAAGGGCACTGCTAGGGATTCGAACCTCGGCTCAGGCCGTCGTAATGTAGATCCCCGTTTGAAGTGGACGGGGGATCGATCAGAGGGGGGCCCTCTTTTGCAAAATATATACTGTATTTATATCAGCTGCTTTGCCCCATAACAAAATACAATACGACATTATGCTATGAAAATAGCTAAAGTAGATAAGTTTAGCTGTCGCCACGTCTGTTAATTGTCTAATTCTTTCTACCGCATAGGCTCAGTCTATTCGCTAATTTATACATCTATATCTACATATAAATGTCTGTTTGTAATATTGAAATAACCGTTTTTTACTACACGCATATGAATATAAATACGGTACATACACCAAATTAACATTATTTACAATTTTTGACTGTCTGTCTGTTTATTCCGGCTAATCTCTGAAATGGCAGGACCGATTTTTACGGGACTTTTTTGCCAGATAGCTGATGTAATATGGAGTAACTTAGGCAACTTTTATTATAGAAAATTAAAGTTAAATTCCACGCGGACGAAGTCGCAGGTACAGCTAGTATAAAACATAAATGTGTATTTTCGGTTATTTACAGTGGTTGAATGATATAAATGATATATACAGAAAATTAATAAATACAGGGATCTAGGCTCCGAATATGATTTTGTCCCATTCGGTGTCGCTTGAGACCCTTGGTCCGTGGAGTCTTAGCGCTATAAGACTTCAAAGAAATAACGAAAAGGTTAGTCGACATCACAGAAGACCGAAGAGCTGGCAGCTACCTCGGACAAAGAATTAGTCTAGCTATTCAAAGAGGGAACGCTGCCAGTATCTTCGGAACTTTACCTAAAGGGACCCCTTTTAATAATATATTTTAGTTATTATATTATATTTTTATCCAATGCCTTCCCGCGATCTTGACCAGATCGTCGGTCCACCTTGCTGGAGGCCTTCCCACGCTGCGTCTTCCGGTCCGTGGTCGCCACTCGAGAACTTTACTGCCCCAACGGCCATCTGTCCTACGAGCTATGTGCCCTGCCCATTGCCACTTCAAAGTCGCAATTCTTGGCATTGGATGCGAGCAGCGCAGGACCGATCGTGGTGGAGATCTTTGGGGGAGGCCTATGTCCAGCAGTGGACGTCTTCCGGGCTGCGATGATGATGATGATGATGATTATATTTTTAAGCTTTTTTATTTTAGGTTCTTTGTTGTACAATAAAGTTATGTAAATAAAATTATTTCAATTAGAAAATTAGTTATATCACATAAGAAGGGATTCGGTCTGCTATGATAACAATGTAATTTTCTAAAATCTCTCGTCGCTAGGCAGCGGTGCGGGCTATCCGTAAATTCACCACAGATATTTTTTATATATATTTCATGACTTTTAAATATTTATTTATTATGTGGACGGCTCGTTTTAGGAAAAGAAAATACTAATAGAAAAGCTGAATAGAAAAAATATGTTTATTGCAAAAATTTCTAAATATCTAATTGACACAAAAAATTCGACATTCTCTCTTTTTAAAATATTGACACAAAAAAGAATTGTACATCAAAACTCAACATATTATATAGTTTTGTGTCAAATATACCCTATACATTGTTTAAATTATTAACTGAGTCTTAATACGAATAATTTTATGGCAAATAAAGGTATTTACCTCTCTCGACGTTTCGCCTAGGTTGCACTAGCCGTGGTCACGAGCTGACTAGAGTAACAGTGATGTCAATGTAGATAGGTGACAGCAGTTTTTTCGTGTACTGTCACCAGATTGTTTAACGAAAGTTCCGGTTAATAATTTAAACAATGTATATTAAACATGAAAGTTTAAAAATATACTCTATACAGCAAAGAATTAATAATAATAATAATAATTCCAATCGTTATGTCGGTGAACGGTCTTATCCCAACCAGTCTGGAACAACATCTCAGACGGTTGGGATTCCGGGGCGGCTCACTCCCGGGAAAGATGCAGAAAGCGGTGCTCTTAGATTCTGCCCGCATTGTACGCCGGTTTCTCTCCCTGGGGCCCTGAACCCCGGCCGACTGTGCTTCTACCGGGGGTAAGTTGCCATCTCCTCTCCTTAAGAGGGGAGATGAGATTTTTTTTAAGTTTAAGAAATAATAATCTTTATTTGTCTCAAACAAAATCTTTTCACACAATACAACTATTGCCCATACAATAATATAATTTAAAAACATGTTAATTTGGTGTATGTACTGTATTTATAGTCATATGCATGTAGTAAATAACGGTTATTTCAATATTACAAACAGACACTCCAATTTTATTTATATGTATAGGTTACATTCTATAAAAAAAACACTTTACCAGGATGCACGCTAGATCTGAACAAGGATTTCGGTCTACCATCAGCAGTGTACATCCGTGATGGGGAGTTCCTTACCCCGGATGACGCAGGCACCATATCGTTGAGGAGATCTGAGACTATCCTGGTGGCGTGTCCGGGGAGAGGCCGACGTGTGGTTACCGCAAATGTTACTACTGGTATAGATTCCGTGGTAAGTTTTTTTTCATTGATAATAATGGAATGATGTACCAGCGGGTTATAATAGGATGAGCATGAAGTGAGGACAGTTTCATGCTGTTATCATTACATAGTATAGAACAAAGTTCTGTCTATCCCTATGTATGCTTAAATTTTCATTTAATGTTAGACATAGACACCTATATAAATATACATTGTAAATAAACTGGCTTTAAAAAAAAAAGTAATTCAATTGAGTTTCTTGCCAGTTCTTCTCAATTGGATCTATATACCGAACTGGACGGTAGGGAAAAAAATAAAATTATAATGTAAAAATTTGACGTTCATAAGCGGCTAAAATGTCCTACATGAATAAATGATTTTTGAATTTTGAATTTTATGAATTTTGAATCTTTAAAACTACGCAACGGATTTTGAAGCGGTTTTTTTTAATAGATAGAGTGATTCTAAAGAAAGGTTTGTATATATAAAACATGTACACCCGTGCAAAGCCGGGGCGTGTGTCTAGTAAAATAATAAATGTGATACAGTGAAAGTACCAGGACAACATGAAGTTACAGGCAGTTAGGTGATGTGTTTGGCCACTTTCTATATATTAGAACCGAAAGTATTCCATAATGGAATGGTGCACCCGCCTGCTCTAACGGTTTACGCTGGCGGGGCACCAGTGGAGGATGATAAGATCAACATGAGGTCAGATTATTCGGCCAGTTAAATTCCTGGTGAATTTATCACGATGGTTTCCAGCGGGAACCGCGTGGAGGTCAACTTGACTTCCGATTACTACCAATGTACCGTACATTGGTAGTAATCGGAGTCCACATTATTAAAGATCACTTTTCCTCCCCTCTCCGGCGCCATTACCCGCCCTGTAGGTGTAGAGTAGGCCCCATCTTGTAGTACTCATAACACAAGCTCTGCTTACCGTGGGACTAGATGGCGCTGTGTTAATTCTACAGGGTTATTTATTTATTTATTTGTTCTTTGTATGATTGTAGGAAGGTCCCATCTCGTTATGATTGTTTGTATCGGTCTGCGTGTTTTCTATATATATAATTATTATTATATATATAGAATAATAATCTCAGGACAATTCACACAGAGCCATCTAGACCCAAGTTAAGCTAGCTAGAGCTTGTGTTATGGGTACTAGATAACTGATACATATACATAGATATTTTTTTTTTGTAAATACATACATATTATACATAGAAAACACCCAGACCGATACAAACAATCATACTCATGAATACAAATGTTTGTGCCGTGCGAGGAATCGAACCCACGACCATCGGTCGTAATGCGGTGTGCTAGACCGCTAGACCACCGAGGTCGTCAATATATAATGTATTTATGTATTTCGTCAATAATAATATTATATATGTATTTACAAAACAATCTAAGTATTTATGTCAGTTGTCCAGTACACACAAGCTCTGCTTACCGTAGGACTAGATGGCGCTGCATTAATTTCTTTTTCGATAGACGATAATGTAATGGTGCACCCGCCTGCGCTAACGATAAACGTTGGTGGGGCACCAGTGGAGGATGTTAGATCAGGTCAGTATATGATAAAAAATCACCGGGAATTTATCACGACGGTTTCCAGAGGGAACGTGGAGGTCACCCAGAGATGGTACATTGCTAGCAATAGGGTCTAATTGGGCCCCGTTGTGTTAATTGTCCACGGTTATTTATTTTATCTTTGTTGTTTGTAGGAAGCGCATTGCATTGTTAATTCAACATTCCGTGTTGGGCGATGGATTGGACAGTTTACAGACATTCGTTGCAATATGTTCCCCACTGCTACAGTGGAGGAGATGAATGGAGGATGCTATAAAGATAATTCCCTCATCAGGTATCACAAATCATGACATATTTCTTACACGCGTGTAACAGGCATGAGAGCGTCTTGGTTTAGTGGTTTCTTACCCTAACTTGAAACTAGATATTTAATTTTTTTTAGTATGTAAATATTGTAAAGTTGATTATACATTAACCTGTATCGCGGGAGTACACAAAAGAACTGCTAGATGATTAATAACTATTACAGATCAGCGAGTAGAGTAGATTTGACATCATCATCATCTGCTTCTTCCTTATCCCATTTATTTGGGGCCGGTGTAGTATGTTTTTCTCTTTCATTCGTCTCTGTTCGCAGTCATTCCGTTATTTACTCCCTTTCTCACCATATCATCTTTTACACAGTCCAACCATCTCTTTTTCGGTCCTCCTCTGCCCTTATAACTATCCACATTCATATCTACACACCTACCTTAGGATTATTTGATATATCATAAAAGTCTGCAATAGTAGGTCTATAGCAGGGCCTTCTAATTCTTCTCAAAAATGAAGATATTTTAGTTAGATCTCATAGAAACATTCCAGATGAATTGCACCTTGCGGCTTATCGCTAAAAAGTGATTGTAATATATATAGAGACGAAATTTTTCTTTTTATGCATAAAAAGAAAAATTTCGTCTCTAATATCACTTTTTAGCTATAAGGCCGCCCATTGTTACCTGTTTGTATTGTTTATTTTTATCATTTTATACATAACTACCAGCGGCTTCGTCCACATGGAATTTAACTTTAATTTTCTAAAATAAAAGTTGCCTAAGTTACTCTTTATTACATCAGCTACCTGCCAAAAAAAGTTCCGTCAAAATCGGTCCAGCCATTTCAGAGATTAGCCGGAACAAATAGACCGACAGACAGATAATTTTTAAAAAAAATATTATTTTGGTGTAAGTTCCTGATTTATATTTATATGCATGTAGTATAAAACGATTATTTCAATATTACAAACAGACACTCCAATTTTATTTATATGTATAGATTGTGTAACATATTTTCTGTGAGAGGAACAATAAAGAGTTAGAGAGTATTGTCGCATGCCTAATCCTCGTTAATGTGAATCTAATTAAAACAATATTTATTTAAAAGAACAACACACAAGTTTCTTGCTCATTCTTCTTGTGATGAGTCTGCGTTCCGAATGAGCGGTAGAATAAAAAAAACTGACAATTCAAAAGTGCTCATATTAAGTTTATTTGAATAAAGATTATTTCTATTCTATTCTATTATAGAGTTTCATTCATTCATTCATACAATTTTTTTTATTATATCGATAATATGTGCTTAGATAGTTTTACTTGCGTAAAAGGACACATTACCACTATTCCATTATGTTAGAGTTCACATTAATATTGTAGAAAAAATCCGATATTTTAAAAATATATTAAAAGAAGGTAGTTTGTGTTTAGTACTAATACAGTACCCAATGTAAAGATTATTGCAAATATTGTAAATAGCGCCATCTAGTATTTATAGACCGAACTAAGTTGTTAGTCATAAGATAACCGTTACCCTCGTTTCTCTCCCTACTACACTGACTTCGGTCTATAAATACGGAGGTCGGTAGTTGAATAATCCTCTTTCGTTGGGTGAGCCGCGGCATTCAGTCGACGAGCGCAGAGCGTGCCGGTTATGTTTTGGATACTAAAGTGAATTGTATTAGAAATGGTTTTGTTCTGGTCTTGGCTGGGCCTGGGTGAAGCTGCAAGTAGTGAAGGTGAGTGTTAATGCGTTCTAAAAGGTCCTTTTAAACCTACACCCGTGTCACAAGTCACGGAGCTACTTGGGGTTTCCCTTGCGGTAGCCGGCTTCAAAGACTAAATCGTCATCATTATTAGTGGATCTTACAATCGTGACAAAGATTCGTCCAGTATCAATACCCCATCTTACAATTATCATCAACAAGAAAAAAATGTGTTTTTTCAGGGTTGGGTACACAGTCAAGAACAAAATTTTTCCATTATATGAAGCGTGCTTTGATCGAGCCTTGCTTACAACGTTGTACGTAAAATATGAATTGACGCCGAGGAATCTTTACCATCAATCAGCTCCCAAACATGGCTCCAGAAAGTTCTACGGTAAGATGTGTTCTTTACATTTTCAGAGGAGTTTTGTTAACGCTGTAACACCAGAATTTTATATATTAGACTTAATTGTTCCCGCGGATTTAAAGCGAATCTTATATATAAAATTCTCGTGTCGCAATGTTAGTTACCATACTCCTCTGAAACGGCTTGACCGATTTTGATCAAATTTTATATGCATATTCAGTAGGCCTGAGAATCGGCTACTATCTATTTTTCAACAGGAATTGATGGTAAAACGGTGAAAATTTAAAGTTGTACTTTTCAATGATAATTTTTCATAATGAAAGTTATTAAAAAAAATGTCAAAAAATATATGTTAGGGGTAGGTCACCCTTATCATTGAGGGGTAGATGTTGGGCAATTCTCAGACCTACCCGATATGTTTAAGCTTAAGTTAATCTGTAAAGCCGTTTCGGAGGAGTTTGGTAACGAGTACCGAGAATTTTATTTATTAAACTGTTTTGCCATATAAATTATATTAGGTATTAAAAATAGGAGTTGGTGATAGAAGGGCGAAAATGTAGGGTGTTGTATCTATATATATATATACATTATATATATATATATATATATATATATATATATATATAATGTATTTTAATGCAACATTAAAAATGAAACAAAATTGACCAAAAAATCCTTAACACTTAGGGGTATGAAAATTAGATCGATGTGAAAGATAGAATCGTCTGAATATGCATATAAAACTTTATAAAAATCGGTTAATCCGTTTCGGAGGAGTATGGTAACTAGCATTGTGACACGAGAATTTTATATATAAAATAATTCATTATGAATATTGCATGTTACAGATACTCATTTGTTCAGTAAAGTGAACATAAATAAAGCATATAAGCAGCAGAACCAGCGGCTCGACGCACTGCTGGGACCAGGGATGTATAAGAAGTACGTTAGTGGCGCACAGGTGAGTCTGATTAACGTGTTTATTCAAATAAACTTAATATAAGCACTTTTGAATAGTCACATTTTTTTATTTTACCACTCATTCGGAACGCAGTCTCATCACAAGAAGAATGAGCAACTTGTGTGTTGCTCTTTTGAATAGATGTTTTAAGTAGATTTACATTAACAAGAATTAGGCATGCGACAATCAACATAAAAACCGCAACGCACTCAATCTTTGTTCAATCTGCTAACATTGTCTGCGCTAGTTAGATATTTTCTATAAAAAAACATTATTATCATTTATAAATTCTTCAATTTTATAATAAGTTTTTTTAGAAAGGAAATGTTTTTTTATAAGATTATTGGATAATGTTTTCTCTCATCAGTTCTTCTTGGCTCGAAATCATTTCGAACTGACGGTAGATGTCCTTCTACAGAATCTGCACTCGCCCCCTATCGTCCGGTGAAGCTGTAAAGATCAGCAGCGGCCAACATCACTAGAGTAGTCCGAAAAAATCTTTTCCGCGTGAATTAGAGTACATGTAGAGGCAGAAAAAGGCGCAATGATGATATTTATTATTTATATGTTGAAATAATGTATAATTGCAGTATCTGTCACGTGGTCATCTCGCAGCGCGAGCTGACTTCATCATGCGAGGACAGCAGCAGGCCTCCTACCATTACGTGAACTGCGCGCCGCAGTGGCAGCGCGGGAACGCGGGCGACTGGACCGCTGTGGAATCTGTGAGTCGACCTTCTCACACCTCATGTTGTCCTAATACTAGGGTGTTGTAGTAATAAGAAAGAAGACTAGGTAAACGGAGAAAATATATTAATAATAGAGAACTAACATATTGACAACAGAAAGAATGAATTGAAGTATCAAAAAAACAAGAATGTATATAAAAGAACTATAAATTCAAATACAAATTTAGAATATAAAATACATATCTGATTAGCCAGTTACAACACTCCCCCTTAATCAGAAATGGTCAAAAAGCAAAAAAAAATGGAATTACAAAAAGAAATATTTTGCCAACCCTACATATACCTACCATGCGTTTCTTAAAAAACATCAGCAGACATATCACTGCTTTTGAAATATTCTAAAAATGAAATTTTATTTACTACAACTACACATCTTGTCTATAAAGTAAAATTTTATCACATTTAAAAAAAAAAAATATTATATACATATAACACCACCAAACAAAAATTCCAATATTATCAAAAGAAATAACATCAGAAAATATAAAATATTTGCCTATACAAAATATAGCATCTTAAAAAACAGTACTATATTTTTCTGATGTATAATATATAATTTTATTTTATTCTTTTAATATATGTATCTATGTATATGGCGGTAAGGGAAGATCAATAAATTAATTTAAAAGTCTAATTCTAGTTCAGTAGAGTTTACAGTATACTGTAGGCTTTGCTAACATTAAACTTACCGAGACAAAATATATAACCTATATAACATATTCTATCACATCCATACCTCTTGAAGGATCGAAACAGGGACGTAGACACCACCAGTACAACCACATATTGCACCATCCGGAACACCCACAGGGATGTGGATAATACCAGCAAGAAAAAGAAAAAAGAACTATAAATTCAAATACAAATTTAGAATATAAAATACATATCTGATTAGCCAGTTACAACATAGGGTACTAAATTACGTGACTAATATGTATCGTAAATGCGGAAGTATGTTCTCTGTTTGTTATTTTTTTACAATTAAACCGCTGAAACAATCTTTATGATATTTGACGTGAAAATTTTATCACAAGGACTGACATGACTGACTTCGTGATTCATGACGAATCTGCTCTGTTCCTAAAATCGGGTCTCAAAGGCACCACAAAACGACACAAAAACGTGGAATGTGAGTCGACCTTCTGACGCCTCATGTTATCCTAGTACCAGGGACTATTATGACTCCATCTAGAATATATACCTATATATAGTAAATGCACATGCGCGTTGTTATTTGTTTGTTATTTTTTTTCACAACTAAATCGCTGAATCTATGTTAATGATATTTGACGAGAAGATATTTTTTATCACGAGGACTGACATGACTGACTTCGTTATTCATGACGAATCTGCTCTGTTCCTAAAATCTCTCTCTCGTAGAGCACAAAAAGTGGAATGTGAGTCGACCTTCTGACGCCTCATGTTATCCTAGTACTAGGAACTGAATTATGAGTCCATCTAGAATATATATATATAGTAAATGCACATGCGCGTGTTCATCTGTTTGTTATTTTTTTTTCACAACTAATAGCCCAAGAGCCCACGACTGCCAGACATACGTCATTTTAATAAACGTGAAAGTTCTTGTCTGTGTGTCCCCAACACAGGTAAGAACGATCCCCAAATATGAAACCTGGATCGTGGTTCCTTTGGCAGGTACCAGGTAACAAAGGTGTAAAAAAAATCATACCAAATTCGTTATTTTAAGAAACTCCATATTTTCATATATTGTTCGTAGCACTATTATAACTTGCGCTGCTCATTGCCAGACACGTAGTGTGGTTCCAACCCCCCGCCGGACCCCCCTAAACTATACTATTTTAGAAATAAACTTACGTCATTTTAATAAAGCTGAAATTTATATATATTATTGAGAGTTCTCTCAAACTGAGTTTCCTAAATTGCCAGACAGTTTTCTTGGTTCCTTATCATACCAGACTCATTGAAACCGTATATTGGGTAACAACGGTGTATACAATTTCATATCAAATTCGTTATTTTAAGATGCTCCATTTTTTCACATATTGCTCGTAACAGTATTATAACTTGCGCTGCTCATTGCCAGACACTTAGTGTGGTTCCAACCCCCCGCCGGACCCCCCTAAACTATACTATTTTAGAAATAAACTTACGTCATTTTAATAAAGCTGAAATTTATATATATTATTGAGAGTTCTCTCAAACTGAGTTTCCTAAATTGCCAGACAGTTTTCTTGGTTCCTTATAATACCAGACTCATTGAAACCGTATATTGGGTAACAACGGTGTATACAATTTCATATCAAATTCGTTATTTTAAGATGCTCCATTTTTTCACATATTGCTCGTAACAGTATTATAACTTGCCCTGCTCATTGCCAGACCCTTAGTGTGGTTCCAACCCCCGCCGGACCCCTAAACTATACTATTTTGTAAATAAACTTACGTCATTTTAATAAAGCTGAAATTTATATATATTATTGAGAGTTCTCTCAAACTGAGTTTCCTAAATTGCCAGACAGTTTTCTTGGTACCTTATCATACCAGACTCATTGAAACCGTATATTGGGTAGGAAACTCAGTTTAATAGTTCTCTCAATAATATATATAAAGTTCAGCTTTATTAAAATGACGTAAGTTTATTTATAAAATAGTATAGTTTAGGGGGGTCCGGCGGGGGGTTGGAACCACACTAAGTGTCTGGCAATGAGCAGAGCAAGTTATAATACTGTTACGAGCAATATGTGAAAAAATGGAGCATCTTAAAATAACGAATTTGATATGAAATTGTATACACCGTTGTTACCCAATATACGGTTTCAATGAGTCTGGTATGATAAGGAACCAAGAAAACTGTCTGGCAATTTAGGAAACTCAGTTTGAGAGAACTCTCAATAATATATATAAATTTCAGCTTTATTAAAATGACGTAAGTTTATTTCTAAAATAGTATAGTTTAGGGGGGTCCGGCGGAGGGTTGGAACCACACTACGTGTCTGGCAATGAGCAGCGCAAGTTATAATAATGCTACGAACAATATGTGAAAAAATGGAGCATCTTAAAATAATGAATTTGACATGAAATTGTATACACCGTTGTTATCCAATATACGGTTTCAATGATTCTGGTGGAATAAAGAACCAAGAAAACTGTCTGGCAATTTAGGAAACTCAGTTTGAGAGAACTCTCAATAATATATATAAATTTCAGCTTTATTAAAATGACGTAAGTTTATTTACAAAATAGTATAGTTTAGGGGGGTCCGGCGGGGGGTTGGAACCACACTAAGGGTCTGGCAATGAGCAGAGCAAGTTATAATACTGTTACGAGCAGTATGTGAAAAAATGGAGCATCTTAAAATAACGAATTTGATATGAAATTGTATACACCGTTGTTACCCAATATACGGTTTCAATGAGTCTGGTATGATAAGGAACCAAGAAAACTGTCTGGCAATTTAGGAAACTCAGTTTGAGAGAACTCTCAATAATATATATAAATTTCAGCTTTATTAAAATGACGTAAGTTTATTTCTAAAATAGTATAGTTTAGGGGGGTCCGGCGGGGGTTGGAACCACACTACGTGTCTGGCAATGAGCAGCGCAAGTTATAATAGTGCTACGAACAATATATGAAAATATGGAGTTTCTTAAAATAACGAATTTGGTATGATTTTTTTTACACCTTTGTTACCTGGTACCTGCCAAAGGAACCACGATCCAGGTTTCATATTTGGGGATCGTTCTTACCTGTGTTGGGGACACACAGACAAGAACTTTCACGTTTATTAAAATGACGTATGTCTGGCAGTCGTGGGCTCTTGCTCTATAAATCGCTGAATCTATGTTAATGATATTTGACGCGAAAATATTTTTTATCACGAGGACATGACTGACTTCATGATTCATGACGAATCTGCTCTGTTCCTAAAATCGGGTCTCAAAGGCACCACAAAACGACACAAAAACGTGGAATGTGAGTCGACCTTCTGACGCCTCATGTTATCCTAGTACCAGGGACTGGATTATGTGATTCTATATAGAAAATGGGGAAGTCTGTCTGTCTGTTATTTTTTCAATACAAAACTATACTGCGGGTAGATGTTATGACGTAGGCATCCGCTAAGAAAGGATTTTGATTAATTCTACCCCCAAGGGGATAAAATAGGGGATGAAAGTGTATGTGAAATTCGTCAATTTTAAACCGATTGGGCTGAGACTTTGCTTGCATAAAGCTACTATGACGTAGCCATCCCCTAAGAAAGGATTTTAATAAATTCCACCCCTAAAGGGATAAATTAACGCGAGCGAAGCCGCGAGCAGAAGCTAGGGTACATACACCAAAATATCATTTTTTTACAGGCGTTACGTCAACGTATAAACACTTACGGCTCTCCTGTGACGGTATACACTGGTACCATGGGAGTGATGTCGCTAGCAGACGACAAGGGGCACCCCCAAAACTTATACCTGGATGATGACGAGAATAATAATGGGGTGCTACCTGTACCGTTGTATTTCTTTAAGGTAATGTTTCTTAATATACTTGTTCAAAATCTACCCTGTATCATCGTAAGCACAGATTATTACTTATATTAGAGTCCGTTAGTTTGTGTTCCCGCGTCTTTCCTTCCCCTCCCTTACCTAGTACTGAACTGACCGTACAGCGACCTTGACGGGCGCGCGCATTGTGTTGTGAATTAAAATAAATTAGAACTGTGTTAAACCTACTGTGAAACTGGAAAGCTAGCGAAGATATCTTCGAGACCCTGAAGCCCAAGAAATCCGCATAACCATACAGGTACGTGACAGACGTTTCCACACATATTTTTCCCTATATATATACATAGTAAATTCCCTAACATTTTGGTAGCAGAGAGTACTTTCCCTAACAATACCCCTAAACTTTCTCTTTTCGGACTATTCGGACTAAAAAAAAAGTGCATGCGCGTGATAGCAAAAATAAAGCGTTTGACAGACACCACACTTTCAAAAATTAAAAATATTAACTTTACCGTCTATTTATATATTGGAGATAGCTGTATTTGTTCATGAACATTTATCATATTTTAATTTTAAATGTAATAATCGATTAGAAAGCCAACTGGCCCTACCAGAATGCAACTGACCGACGAAGCTTACTATACAGTAAAATAATTTTCACCAGACGTACTATAGGAGCTAACTGGACACTACAACAGATCTAAATTTTAAATTTCATGATGGGAATGAGTCATCTACGAAAGTGCCATACTCTTTAAACAGAGTCCATGTGTATTGTTAATTTATCATACGTAAATTTATGTATATTGTACAATTATAAATAAATAAATACTCTAATGCTGTTGGCCACAGCTGGTCTTTACAGCTTCACCGGAGGATAGAGTGTGAGCCCTCTTCCTCACACTGGGCAAGTGCCCAGGGCTCCGCGATGGATGCTCCTAAGAGGCAGATGATGATGAAAGTGTGATTTTGTGTCAAATACTCGATGATAATTAAAATCATATCAAGATTATTAAACAATAACTACTAATTTTTGGTCCTTCGAGCCGGATGTTTACACATCTATACATGTAAATAAAATTGGAGTGTCTGTTTGTAATATTGAAATAACCGTTTTTTACTACATGTATATGAATATAAATATGGTACATACACTAAAATAAATTTTTTTGCCTGTCTGTTCGCCTAATCTCTGAAATGGTTGGATCGATTTTGACGGGACTTTTATCGGCAGGTAGCTGATGTAATAAGGAATAAGTTAGGCAATTTTTATTTTAGAAAAATAAAGTAATGTTGCAAAATTCCATGCGGACAAAGTCGCGCGTACAGCTAGTTTTTTATAGATGCTGATCAAATAATTACTTTCACAGTTGGTGTACGATCCTAGAAAGAAAACTGCAGCGGCTTTCGTATCAATAAACTCGTCGTTCTACAACCGGACGGTTGTCGACCGACTTACATTCTGCGACGAGTCGTGCGAGCGACACGACTGGCTGCGATGGCGGCCGAGCGACGGCACGCACAGTTTCTGCTGCGATTACGCTGCGTTAGCTCGCGCAGTGGAACACGTGCCCAAGTTAGACGTTAAGGGGACTTTTATATAAGTACATCTATACATATAAATAAAATTAGTGTCTGTTTGTAATATTGAAATAACAGTTTTTTACTACATGCATATGAATATAAATACGGTACATACACCAAAATAACACTTTTTACAATTTTTGTCTGTCTGTCTGTTTGTTCCGGTTAAACTCTGAAACGGCTGGACCGATTTTGACGGAACTTTTTTTGTCAGGTAGCTGATGTAATAAGGAGTAACTTAAGCTACTTTTATTTTACAAAAATACAGTTAAATTCCATGCGAACGAAGTCGCGAGAACAAGTTACTTGCCCCGGCTTCGCACGGGTGTACATGTATTTATATATATATAAAACATCCTCTTGAATCGCTCTATCTATTAAAGAAAACTACTTCAAAATCCGTTGCGTAGTTTTAAAAGATTTAAGCGTACATAGGGACGGACAGACAGCGACAGCGACTTTGTTTTATACTATGTAATGATGTTTTTAATAAAAGTATGTACTTTATGGGTGGACTGACGATTGCTGAAAGACGTTGGATGCTGCAACGCAGGACCCATCGTCGTGGAGATTTTTGGGGGGGCTTTGTTCAGCAGTGGAGGTCTTAGGGCTGATATGATAATGGGGTAGTTCACCCTTACAAACAAGGGCGTCAACAATAAAACAACAAACTACAATAGACATTTAATTTATTTATTATTAAAGAAATTATTTACAATTCCATATTATTTGTTTCAAATATTACAAACAAAACCTAGAAGCAGTCTATTTATTTATATTTTATAATCCACTAATCTATATTTTATAGTCATGGAAGGAAACGTCCCGGCATCGTAGTTACTTTTAAAAAAAAAAAAAACTAAAATTACCTAAGAACAAGAACAAACAATATCCCGATTAAAATAGCAACAATACACCTATACCTGTCCCATTCTAACTTACGGAGTTACTAATAGGTTAGAAAAGATTACATATCGTCGATTAAATATAAAAATGTCATTTTCAAAATTAGAAGCTAGAATTGCCTCCTTTTATATAAGTCAATTAAATTAACCACGCCGTCTTAATCATTATCTAAATACATTTAAAATGATTTATAATACTTCGATGTAAATTAAAAACTTTAAATTTAAATAAATTTAAAAACTTTAAATGCTTGGTCTTGTAAAAAATGTACATTTTGATTACTGCCATTTTTCTACTTAACCGACGATATACGGATCTAAAAAAATTTCTCTTCAAACTTGCTAGTAACTTCGTTTCGTACTATTCTGGAGCTGCTGAACGCAGATGCCCTTTATGAGAACACCACTAGGGGTCAAACCTTCATAATTCGATATCATCAACAAATAGTCTTATTGCTATTGTAATAAGGATATTTATCGCTTCTTGTAATTAGAAATACACAGTAGAGCGTCAAAGAACTAATTCCAACCTTTTTATATGGAACCTTAATAAATTCCCTTTCGTAATTATGCTTTAGAAAGTTAGCAAGTAATTCGGATGGCCTCCAGCAAGGTGGATCGACGATCTGGTCAAGATCGCTGGAACGAGTTGGATGCGAACAGCGAAGGACCGATCTTCATGGGGTTGTTTGGGGAATATTGGGAAGATTCTGTTCAGCAGTAGACGTCTTCCAGGTTTTAATGATGATGATGAACTCTGAGATACGATTGCAAAGGGTTAATCAGGATAAAGAGATTTTTTTTTAATTTAATAAACTGATATTCCGAAATGGCCAACCAATTAATTTAATTTTGTGACGCTCTATTGTATTACGAAGTACTTTAGTCCAAATATCGATTAAAAACATAATAGCCACTTCACAGATTAATAAAAACTATTATTTCACTAAACCTAGACTATACAATAAAAAAAACTTAGGAAGTTATCTATGGTAATTCACTCCATAAATTCGCTGAGATCGATTGGCGCGAAATTTTCGAGTGCAAAGTTATATAAAAAAAAAAAACGAGGTATATTTAAATGAAAGTGAGTTAAACGCGAGTGCACAGAGCAATTAATAATTAACACTACATTTTATAATAGTTGACACCACCCATATGTGAACTGAACCAAATTTCAATGTTTTTTTTTCGACTCTAATGCTGTTGGCCGCAGCTGGCCTTTACAGCTTCATCGGACGATAGGGGGCGAGTGCAGATGGCACTAAAAACCAAAGGAAGGACTTATGGAGCGGCTGGAAGGCTAACTCCCGCCTGACATATTAGTCTGAGGACACCGCTAGGGGTTCGAACCTCGGCTCGGGCCGTCGTTATTTCGATCCCCGTTTGAATTGGACGGGGGATCGATCGGAGGGGGTTTGAATCCGTGTAACAACTTGTAAAGCTTCTATAAAATTGCAGTTTCACACAAAATTTAAGACAGTGTCGTATATATGACAAAAACTTCATTATTTATATCATGATTTACTTGCAATTGCAGTTCTGAAACAAAAATTGTTACACAGATTCTTACAAACAAAATTGTTAACAAAAGAGGCAAAGTCAAGCCTGCTGGGAGTATGAAATCATTTTGAGCCCTAAATATACACTTAAATATTATTGTAAAACAAATTTTTAATACAACCTTATTTAAATTTAACAGTGGTCTGACATTTCAGACTGTTGGTCCCGGCTGTTCATTTTTAGATGAAGTTTTTACACAAGGAAACATTTACAGACAGAGTAGTGTAATGTCGCTACACTTCTACAAAGAAACCACTCGTTTAGTTATTTTAATGTCGGTTTAAATTACTGCTCAATCACTTTCAATTAAATATAAATTATAAAACGGTTTTAGGGGCCATACACAAATCACGTCACAAAAGTTTCGTTCTTGTCACAGCTTGTCACAGTTGTGATACCCCTCCTCCCTGTGTGACGTCACATAATTTGCAATTTGATTAAATCCTATGAAAATATATTTAAGCTTAACACAATTCAAATTACATGGTTTACATAATTACATTATGAAATGTGACGTTACAAAATTCGACAACGTATGGCAAAGGTCTCCGAACCTTTGTCACACGCTGTCGAATTTCTTCGACCCCCTAGTGTGACGCAATTTATGGATTGCCGCGTATATAAAAAAAAACGTTTAAAAACTATAATTAAAGCTATATATACACATGCGACAATTATAGAGACGCGCTATACAATTTCTTACAATTTACATAAAAATGGCGTTAAGGCGTAAGGCCTTAGTTATTTAACGATTTTATTAACAATTCTCAATTGTAACCATAATTTTACAGTTATATAGGGACCATTTAACAGTTGCAATTAGCGAAACGTCTGTAATTCTCAAATGTTTTATAGAAAATCACAAACTTATCGATTTTTATTTATTAGAATTGAGAATTTATAATAATATCATTACATAATTAGGCCACGGATCTAAACGCTAAGACGTCAAGACGCTGATCAGGCGCCGAATTTGCCGTAGCAAGCAACTCGGAACTCCTTTAAGGAACCCAACTAGTAGAGTTACTTGTATAGTATACACCAAGTCGAAAACCATAAGATAATGAAATACAACGATGACGTCCATCAAGAAGCGAATTTGAAATATAAATTTAAAACTTGGACATCTTTACATAGTATAAAATGAAGTCACTTCCGCTGATCTTTTAAATTACGCAACGGATTCTAATGCATTTTTCAGCAATAGATAGAGTGACTCAAGAAGACATGTTACATGTGTAATACACGAGGCTTATATAATACAGAACAAGACTGGAAATTCAAAGATTTGTTTGTATCCGTGTGAAGCTGGGACGGATCGGTAGTTAATAATTATTTCTAAATTAATACAACTATTTCAAATCAAAATCTTAAGCCAAATGGTGTTTAAATCATAAGTTTCAGAAATATTAACTCAATTGTATGAGCCCCGATATTACACGTTCTTACACATCTTGGTCACTCCACGACTCCTTAAGTAATATTATCACGATTAATATTTAGTTTATAGAATATGTACAATTGAAAATTATGATGAAAAAGTTTAAAACTTTCCAATCAAACCAAATCAAAAATCATTAATCTTGTTGGACATTTTAGCCACTTATGAACGTCAAGTTTTTATATTAACATTTTTTCTCTACCTCCAGCTTGGTGTACACTCTACGACTAACTCTGAATTCTCCATTTCACACTAGCCTAGTGTTTGAGTATACAATTTTCCCGTTTCGCCATTATTATTTATTCGTTACCTATACGCTTATATTACAAAATTATAATTAGACCAACAAATATTTTCCGTTACGCTTTTTTTACAATATTAATTACAAAATCCGCGGTGACGAAACGGGAAAAATTTATAAAAAACGCTAATAGCATATAGATGTTAATCGCTAAATATTATTTCTACTCGCGTTTCCTAATTTTAACAGTAGCGTTCATAAATATTTTAAGTTTTATTAGTGCTATCTACTCATATAGACGGTTAAGAGAATTATGTAGAGTACGGTTTCCCGATCTTTCCTTCGGTCTGTCCACATTCTACATAATATATTCAAGCCTCCCCTCCAATTTGTTTTGAACAATGGAGCGATAGAATTAATGAACGTATTCTTGTGATGATATTAAGTTTTCTTCCAAAATAGCACTACTCCTAAGTAAGGATCTTCTAGGATTCCCAAAGTGATGACCCCTTTGGGAATCCTAGAAGATCCTTACGTCCACAAATAGGTAATTTATTGCTCAGGCTATTCACAGAGATCGCGCCGCGATATGAGAAATGAACCAATCAGTCTATGATACGGTACTCTGTTATAAGTGAGTAAAGTTTGCATTGGTATAAAAATATGTTACGTCCTTATATAACAATCTTGCAAATGGGGACGAAACCTTCGAAAGAGGCCATTCGTAATTTAAGCCACAAAAATTTCAACGTTTGTTGACCTCAACCCCCTTTGTCACAATTGCTCACATTTGTGAGCCCCCAAGAGTATATTTTACAATTTTACATGTAAACATGATTAATTTGTTGTAGATGTATGTGTGATGAGAAAATTTGATTAAATTAGATTCCAAATATCTATACATATGTACTTTATATAAATAAAATTGGAGTCTGTTTGTAATACTGAAATAACCATTTGTTACTACAAGCATATGAATATAAATACGGTACACACACCAAAATAACATTTTTTACAACTTTTGTTTCTGTTCCGGCTAATCTCTGAAATGGCTGGACCGATTTTGACAGGTCTTTTTTGGCATGTATGTATGTAATAAGGAGTAACTTAGGTTACTTTGATTAAAATGTACTATTTGTTATTTGCCATCAGGAACTGTTCCCCAAAAAATGTGTGCGAATAATCTGTATTATCAATAATGATTTAATATCGAGTTAATAATTAAACAACCTATGGAAATGTTTGGACATTGTTGTTCTCGAATATCATTGCCGACTAGAATATTCGTTAATACCAAACGAAATATTTTTTATTAATAAAACTGGTTTTGAATGAAGACTTAATCTGGTTAAAATACAATTCGATTGACCATTGTTTTGTGATGTTACACAGTTAAGTTTGGCTGAAATAGTGTCCCCCGCAGATAACATTATGCTAACAAAGTCTCTGGTAAATGGTAGCTCTGGGAGTTCTGAACTAGTTGGTTCCCCCAATGACGTCTCATTGGGGCACGATAACCAACTAGTTCATCCCCAGACTACACCAGACTGTTGAGAATACAAAATGGCAAAAGCCTAAAGCATTTGCAACTTTAACACCAAAGTCACAAGCATCAATTTCTATTAGCTATCCTACTATAGAAACTATTAAAATCAAGTCTATATTGTTATTAATTTGTAAAAATATTTAATTTGTACAATATTATTACGCGATAAAAATACAATTTGTGTCATGTATACGGTACATTTGACTTGATGAAATTTGTGACAACAAGTTATGTCACAAATTTCATGAACTTTAGACCCCTCCTGTGTCTTTGTCACACTGCTCCTGGCCAGATTTGTGAGACTCGCCTCCCTATATGATTACTAACGTTGTAAAATCAGTTTTCTCTTGTATGCATATTATCTACATGTTCATTTTTCAATCCGTTTCCTTAACTTTGAAAAGATTGCTTTCAGCAATAAGGCCGCCTTATTGTAACTATACATGTCCTTTAATATATTGTTTATGCCTTTTTTTTATTGTGTTACTAATAAAGTACATTCTATCTAAAATCGTATCGCGACGAATACTGTTTAATGGGGAAAAGGGGATTGTTGTAATGTGGAGTGATGATATTATTGCTAGCAATGTACCATGTCAGGTTGATCTCCACGCGGTTCCGCTGGAAACCATCGTGATAAATTCTTGGTGAATTTGTTACAAGGGACTAACTGACCTGACTTCATGTTCATCTTATCATCCTCCACTGGTGCCCCGCCAGCGTAAACCGTTAGCGCAGTGCACTATATTCATTATCATCCATAAAAAAAACTGTTTAATTATATATTTGTGTTAAGATTTCACTATGAAAGTTTGAAGGAATTAATCACGATGAATTTTCCATAGGTTTTTTATTAAATATGGATTTGAATATAGGCTAGTGTTTCCAAACCTTTCTTGTGTCTTGCCCCACCTTAGTCTTTCTCAAGTTCTTATGCCCCATATAACATAGATAATTTGTAATATTAAGTTAAGTTTCTTAAGTGAACAATTCAGTTTTTTAACTGTCTAGTACCTATAACACAAGCTCTACCTAGCTTAACTTGGGTCTAGATGGCGCTGTAGGAATTTTCGTAAAAAAAAAATATCGTCTGACAGGTACACGGAAGTTATATATTAAAAAAAAAGTAGTTCCCGAGTTTTCTCACACATACAGAGTCAATCGTAGCGGCATACCACACCAAAAGTCAGGAGACACACGAAACTGAACCACAATCACTAAGAGATAAAGTGGAAAACTGTAAATTTTCGTCACCTATTCATTCATAAATATATCATATATTGTTATAAACAATATTGAACTTACTTAAAACAATATTTATTTGAAATAGCAACACACATACACAAAAGTTTCTAGCTCATTCTTCTTGTGATGAGACTGCGTTCCGAATGAGTAGTAAAATAAAAAAATGTGACTATTCAAAAGTGCTTATAATAAGTTTATTTGAATAGAATAGAAATAATCTTTATTCAAACAAATTCATTACAAGCACTTTTGAATAGTCATATTTTGATTCCACCACTCATTCGAAATGCAGATTCATCACAAGAAGAATGAGCAAGAAACTTGTGTGTTGCTGTTTTTTTATATAAATCATTACAGTAGAACAAGTAAGAGGCATGCGATAATCAACATAGAAACCGCTACGCACTCATTATTAGTGGAATAAAGATTATTTCCATTTCTATTTCTGGCCGCGGCTGGCCTTTACAGCTTCACCGGACGATAGGGAGCGAGTGCAGATGGCACTCCAAACCAAAGGAAGAATTTATGGAGCGGCTGAAGACCAACTCCCGCCTGACGGATACGACTTTAGTCTGAGGGCACCGCTGGAGATTCGAACCTCGGCTCAGGCCGTCGTAATTTCGATCCCCGTTTGAATCGGACGGAGGGTAAGTTATTCAGTTTCGCGCTGACTTTCCGCTCGGTGTATCACTTACGACTAAACCTATATGCATGAGGTTGGTACATTTAGGCCGCTTTCCCAATGCACGAAACATTCACAACGCTGTTCTAAAGTTACTCGAACACAAAAAGCGGCAGGCACTTCAATTTTTGTACACAATAATCCCCCTATAACACGATACTGTTATATCTAGTTACTAGATACTCGCCCCGGCTTCGCACGGGTGTACATGTATTATATATATAAACCTTCCTCATGAATTACTATCTAAAAAAACCGCTTCGACTTCGACGTTTCGACTAGGTTGCACAGCCGTGATCCCAGATTTATATCCAGTTAGGTCAGTCAGGGACTAGGTGTAGCGGTTAATAACACCATCTAATAGACACGAGATCGATTCCTGGCACGCAAATATTTATATTCACGAGTAAGTTTGATTTCTTTTCTATGTATGTATGATAGTTTTTTATGATAATGGAATGGTGCACCCGTCTGCGCTAACGGTATACGCTGGCGGGGCACCAGTGGAGGATGATAAGATGAGCATAAAGTCAGGTCAGGTCAGTTCCATGTTCTTATAAAATTATAAATGTGATACAGTGAAAGTACCAGGATAACATGAAGTTACAGGCAGTTAGGAATCTTTGGTACTGTTCGTGTATATAGGTGACGGTTGACGCTCTCGATATATTATAGAACCGAAGGTCTTTCATAATGGAATGGTGCACCTGCCTGCGCTAACGGTATACACCGGAGAGGTACCAATGGAGCATGAAGTCAGGAGTTAGCACATCGTGGAAAATTCACCAGGCACCATGGCCACGGCTAGTGCAACCTAGTAACATAATCGATTCCGACTTCCGACAAACTAAGGAGACATTAGTTGGTTCTATGACGCTGCGAATGAGTATCACGGGTGTTACATGATAACGTGATGATAACAGTGCTGTTCGTGTAATATAGTCTATGGTTAACAGATACCATAAGGTTCACCGGTTGTGATTCCAGTTACATAAAAAAAAACATTGTATACATCACTAAGATACCTTCAAATGATCCATCGATTTCAAAATCCATTGCAACTCTTTATACGTTCAATAAATATTTTTACATATCAAACACTCACCTATATTGAACTTTGAACTCTATCCGCTACGTAATACAATTCAGAATTCAATAAACAAAACGTTCACATACGTCCTTATCATAAACACGATCATGCGTATAGCCTTATATTATCCGGCCTCATAGGCCTAAAAGTCATATTGGTAACAGCTACCGAGTTATGTTCCCCTGGTACCGCCACTTCACTAGTAACAGCTACCAAGTTATGTTCCCCTGGTACCGCCACTTCACTAGTAACAGCTACCGAGTATGTCCTCTTGGTACCGTCACTTCACTAGCACTTCACTATAACCACATATTCCAGCGACGTACATAACCAGTGTTGTCCTTAACGCGATTTCGTTTTTCCTAAAAAAAAAAGAAAAGACAATCAAACAGATGATAAAAAGCATAACTCAAAGGTGACTGACATAGTGATGTATCAACGCACAGTCCAAACCACTGGACGGATCGGGCTGAAATTTGGCATGCAGGTAGATGTTATGACGTAGGCACCTGTTAAGAAAGGATTTTGATTAATTCTACCCCCAAGGGGATAAAATAGGGGATGAAAGTTTGTATGAAACTTCGTCAATTTTAAACCAATCGGGCTGAGACTTTGCTTGCATAAAGCTACTAAGACGTAGGGTAAGAAAGAATTTTGATAAATTCCACCCCTAAAGGGATAAATTAACGCGAGCGAAGCCGCGAGCTAAAGCTAGTAGGATATAAAATCCTTTATTCAAATAAACTTCATTGAAACACTTTTGAATAGTCACATATGTCTCTTTAATGTACCGCTCATTTGGACAGCTGTCTCATCACAAAAAGAATGATCATGTTGTTCAAGTAAATACACATCATTAACTAAGAGGCATGCGACAATCAACATAAAAACCGCTACGCACTAAATCTTTGTTCAATCAGATAACACCTAACAACCTTTCTTAAAGGGACTCCTTCTAATAACGTATTTCAGTTATTACATTATATTTTTAAAGTTTTTAGTTTTAGGTAAATAGAAGTATGATTTTTTCTACAAAAACCTTATGACCTTTATATAAAATTCTCGTGTCACAATATGAAATATTATATACATATTCAGTAGGTCTGAGAATCGGCTACTATCTATTTTTATATCTCTAAGTGATAAGGGTTGTCCACCCTAAACATTTATTTTTTTTATTTTTTGGTCATTTTTTTTTATTGTATTATGAAATGGCATTTAGAAATACATACAACCCTAAATTTTCTTCCTTCTGCCATCAACCCCTATTTTTAAACTACTTTACATTGCAATTTAATTTATATTGCAAAACAACATTTGCATGTTTAGCTAGTCATTTACAAATTCTTCAATTTTATAAAAGCTTTTTTACAAAGAAATAAATGTTGTATAAGGTAACAGAAGGTGTGGTATACGTACCTAGTCGTAGAGGTCCCTGTCGTGGTCGGGGGTGCGGGGGCGCGGCTGCGGGGCGGCGCCGGGCGCGGGCCCGCCCCCCGCCGCCGCCCCCGCGCCCGGCCCCCCCGCCGCCCCCTCGCGCGGGGACGCGCCCCCGTAGTTGAGGAAGTCCCACACCAGTATCGTGTCGTCGTGCGAGGACGACACGATTTGGAACTCGTCGAATTGTAGCCGGAACACGCGGCCGGTGTGCTCCTGTCGACAATCAAACCTCCTTAGAGTTCATGTTCTCCTGGTACATTCACTTTAATATACATAATATATTATGTCAGAATTATTGTGGAGGGTCGTTGTGGTTGGTGGGCGAACGCAACATTAGACAAGCTTCCAGTTTCGCTGAGTATTAAACTCTTTAGAGTTTATGTTCTTCTGGTACTCCGTTGTACTTCTGTCGTCAGTTAAACCTAATATCCATAATAAGACTTTATGGGGGTATAGTCAGTCATTGTTAAGGGTCGATGTGGTTGGTGAAAGCGACGTTAGATATGCTTACATTTCGCTGGGTATAAAACATGGGTTAACCTCCTTAAAGTTCATGTTCTCCTGGTACATTAGACATGCTCATATTTCAAATTAAATAAAAAAAAATACTGAAGAGATGAGATACTTTCAGCTCCAGCCCACCAAAAGGTCATGTTCTCCTGGTACTTTCACTCATTCGGAATGTAGACACACAAGAAGAAAGAGAGAGAAACTCGTGTGTTGATCTTTTAAATAAATGTTGTTCAGCATTACAACTTAAAATATGCAGTCATAGACATTGTCAATTGCCGAAATGAGAACATCGTTAGCTATGGACACTAGTGACCTCATATTATTATCATCCACTGGTGCCTCATGTATATAATTAAGAAACATGGTTTTTAACTATTTCATCAGTTGTCCAGTACCCATAATACAAGTTCTACTTAACTAGTACCTAAATAGCGTTAGGTAAATTTTGCCATGATGCCCACAGCTACCTTTTACTATCGCACTCCTCGCCATCGATAGGGAATTCATCCCCACACGCTGGAACATTTCTCACGAGACTACAGCATGGGGTTTTTCAAGGTTATATTAAGGTTTCTTAAGGGTCGGCAACGGGCCCGTGGCACCCCTGGTGTTAGTTACCCAAAGGCTACGGTAACCATTTACCATCAGATGGGCCGTTACGTGGCGTGATATAAAAAACACGTAAACGTGTAGTCAAATATTTTTTATTTTTTTTATATGTTTTAGCATAACGGTATTATTCTTACCACGAGGGTTCGCAAACACAAGTCCTGGTGCGGGGTGCGAACGTCCAGTGCTGCCGGCAGATCCCAGACTTTGATCTTGCCGTCGTACGCACCGCTCACTATGCGCTTGTTGTCGAACCTATAACAACGCAACTTTATAACTATCGAAGACATGACACCGTCCTCTGCGGCAAAGGCGATGACCCCTATCTTTTCTGCGTATATTATAATATAATAATAATATTTCAGGACAATTCACACAGCGCCATCAAGTCCCAAGCTAAGCAGAGCTTGTGTTATGGGTACTAGACAACTGATATAAATACATGAATACATTTTTTTTTAAATAAATACTTATTATACATAGAAAACACCCAGACTGATACAATCATACTCATGAATACAAATATTTGTACCGTGCGAGGAATCGAACCCACGACCATCGGATAGTAAAGCGATGTGCTAAACCACTAGACCACCGAGGCTGTCTATTTTACATATATTTACAAAAAAATGTAAGCATTTAACATATATCAGTTGTCTAGTACCCATAACACAAACTGCTTACCGTGGGAGTAGATGGCGCTGTGTTACTTGTCAGATTAATTCTTATTATTTACACAAATATTAGCGTCGTGCGGGGAATCCACATCGAGACTGTCAGAAGACGTTGTGATTAACAGCTACATCTAGTCCCTCATGATGCACTGGCCGCAGTCGATGTCCCACAGGCAGATTATGTTGTCGGAGTAGCGAAGCAGATGATTCTGATGATGATGATGAGGATCGTACCGTATACACCGCACGAGTTCCTCGTGTCCCTCCAGCACGCGGATGCACTGGCCGCACTCGATGTCCCACAGGCGGATGGTGTTGTCGGAGGAGCCGGAGACCACGAGTCGGTCTCTGTACTGGAGGCACGCGATGCCGCGCTTGTGTCCGTTCAGCGTCCGCACGAACTCGCACGACGACGTGTTCCACACCTGTTTTATTTATTTATTTGATTTTAATTCGGATTACATCCATATTGTGTTAGTAAAAACTTATAAAACTATGTTAGTAACTTATAATATACATATACGTAGATATATTTAATTCATATATCTGTGTCCACGTCCAGAAGCACTGGGTCCACAATGCAACGTTATCCAGTGCCTCTGGAGCGGACAATCAGGTATATTCGCAACAGTTTTTAGGATGCTGTTTGAGCTCCCCCGAATTCTAGACATCAGTGATGCAGCTCTTTTACGCATTATGGCTTCAAATCCATCTAAATGTTTCATGATCTCAAATTAATCTGACACTGTAGATTGTTATAACTTCTTAATTTTTTTGACAGACATGTAAAGGAACATGTTACCTGACGACTAAAATAAGGCTTTATAACAATTACTATATTTTTATCCTTTTCTTCTATTTATCACACATACTTATAATTCATCCATTGAACTGATTCTTCATTTTATATTTTTAAATTCATCATGAATGCTATTTCTGTTTTTCAAGTGGCTCCACTGAAAATCAGCGCTGTAGTGACACGCTGCGGCACCAGCTGAGTGGAAGCCTTTTCAGCATTGCGAATTATTAGTTTATAAGTTTTCTTTTTTACTCTGTGCTCTTTTTTATGGTGAATATTTTTTTTTTATTGAAATATATAATAAATGGTTTGCTCAAATTCAGAGCTTTGGGGCGGTCCATTGATATTTTTTAGCATCTTTTTCAATTTCTACAACGCGATATTATTGCTCTTTTAAATAATCCCAAGTTTACATTTACAAGTCGAAACGTGTGAATACAAACTACATATACTTATACAATAAGATTAAGTCAGTTGTACAATAAGATAAGAGCAGACCAGTCCCTACAAGCAGCACCCGTTCACGAGTATGACGGATGAGCCAGCCATCACTGCGCTCGACCATATTTTAGGTAGCCCAATGACCCGGCCCACCACGCCGCCACATGTCTGGACATTTTAGTGAGCATTACTACTGTGGTAATTGCGATCACATTACACCTTTGTCGAAATGGAAAGTGTTTTGTTAAAACAGTAGTAGCAAATCTGCTGTGAGCAGTATAATGTTCAATACCACAGGCGCGATGCTCAAGCACTACTGGTCGACGTCAAACGTTGCGTCGATGACGTCATCACAAAATCAACCCGTGAGAAGCACCGCTCATCACGCAACATATATGAGCACACAAGATTAACAGGTCAGAGTTTCATTTAAAAACTCTTCCTTACCAAAAAGCAAATTAACAGTTTTATTTGCCCCGTCTTTGAATGAAGTATTTAAAGTGGACCGGACCGGACCGGAAGACGCAGCGTGGGAAGGCCTCCAGCAAGGTGGACCGACGATCTGGTCAAGATCGCTGGAAGGCATTGGATGCGAGCAGAGCAGGACCGATCGTCGTGGAGATCTTTGGGGGAGGCCTATGTCCAGCAGTGGGCGTCTTCCGGGCTGCGATGACGATGATGATGATGATGATTTAAAGTGGACTTGTGAAGCAACGGCGAGTGTACAATACCTTTATAGTTCTGTCTCCACTGGCGCTGACGATATACTTCTCGTCGAAGTCTACCACGTTGACGGCTGCTCGGTGCCCCACCAACACTCTCCGGAGAAGAATCTCCGTTGTCGACGTCATATCCCATACAGCTATCGATCGGTCCTGGAATACATACTCTATCTATTGTATGTTTGTTAGAATTTATATATGGTAGTATGCCGTAAATGTTTACTCTGTTATCCGCGTAGATCTATGTATATTATATATGAAGGTATCCGCTGAAAACCAGCGTCGTGGCACCCGTCACGACATATGCTGAGCGGAGACCTATTTGGTACTGTAATTATTAATATAAAAATGTAAATTAAATTTTAAAAATTATCTTCAGTGTATGAGTTTGAGTATGAGTTTCAGAGTGTAACTTTTAAGCTATAACTAACAAAGTAAACATAAAAATTGACAATAATTAAGTTTGTCTGTCAATAATATATATAATATGGTCCATTAGTACCCTGACATAAATAAAAAAAATTACGACACGGACTCACCTTACTGCACGTGACCATCATGCCGTTACAGAACCTGAGATGCAGTACAGCCTCACAATGATGTATCAGGGTGTTCAGCATCACACCGGTGTTCACATCCCATACCCTGACGGTGCTGTCTGAAGACCCTGAGATGATGGCTCTCTCATCATATTGCAGACATAGCACTGACCCTGTGTGACCTTGTAATTCCTATAAACAAAAACAAAATACCCTTACTAATATTATAAATGTGAAAGTACGGATGTTTGTTACGCTTTCACGCAAAAACTACTGAACCGATCATCATGAACACACGTACATTTTGTACACATGTTCTTGGAGGTATTAGATTAAACACAAGATACTTTTTAATTAAAAAAAAATAATTTTTTTAGAAACTTCCAGTTAACAACCCAGCAAAAAGATTAAAAAGATCAAATATCCTTGAGCTGGATGAAAGATTTCTAGCTAGCTGAAACATGGGGACCTTGTCAAAGGATAGAGATCCTCCCACGCCTACTACTATCAACTCACCTGCTTATAGTACCAGTACTGATTGCAGATACCTAACTACCAAAAAAAAAAAAATTTTTTTTTTATAAAAAAAAAGAAAATAAAATACCAACTTTTTGCTATTTCAGCGCTATCTAGCAGACAGTAAGTTATTTAATGGATTCAATGCGAACGACGCGCGGGTAAAAGCTAGTTAATATTATAAACGCGAAAGTTTGTGTTGGATGGATGTTTGTTACCCTTTCACGCAAAAACTACTGAACGGATTTCGATGAAATGGTACAGTAATACAGAATAACATGCGGACTATAAATTTCACACGGGTGGTTACACCCGTGTGGCATTTACGCACAGCTAGTGTATAATAAATAGCTGTGGCCGCGACTTCTTCCGCGCGGAATAGTGATCTGGCCCAAATAAAGAAATATATTCGATAATATAACCGAAAAAAACCATATAAAGAAATTTCATGTCACGTCAAAATCACGATATTTCATCCCCTATTTTATTTTACTAACTTAAGAGTTCATATTTATTTCGACGCGGAGTCGTAACGTACGTTGACTTTATACTGAACTTAAATCTATGGAATATTATTATGGGGAAAAGCGGCAGATATTAAAAATATATTCATATTACAAAAACGTGCCATTCGAGCGATCTACTGTATGAAGAGTCGTGACTCATTAAGAGAGAAATTCAAAGAGGCAAATATTCTCACCGTTGCTTCTCAATTTATATATTCAAATATCCTATATGTTCATAAAAATCTTGACTTATTTCCAAAAAACAGCAATATTCATAATGTTAATACTAGATTTAAAGACAAACTTGCTGTCCCCAAGTATCGTTTAGAAAAAGTCAATAGGTCTTTTATGGGAATAGGTATAAAAATTTACAATAAGATACCAAAGGATATGTTGGAATTACCCTTAAATAAATTCAAAACATCTGTTAAATCATATTTACTGAGCAAGGCTTATTACTCACTAAACGATTACTTGTATGACGAGCGTGCATGGCAATAGTTTTCAGGTTCGGGATTTTCATTTAATGTTAGACATAGACACCTATATAAATGCATTTTAAATAAACTGGATTTAAAAAAAAAAGTAATTCAATTGAGTTTCTTGCCAGTTCTTCTCAATTGGATCTATATACCGAACTGGACGGTAGGAAAAAAAATTATAATGTAAAACTTGACGTTCATAAGCGGCTAAAATGTCCTACATAAATAAATGATTTTTGAATTTGAATTTGAATATGTTATCTGGAGAGGTACCGGTAATAGAAGGATGCAGAGTGTTCATAGAAATATTACAAGCAAAGGCACAATACCTTTACACACTGCAATGTCTTCCGATCCCAAATCTTAATTGTGTTATCTCTGAGACCGGATACAATCTTGTTATCATCGTATTGTAGACAGTAAACACCTTTTGAGTTCTCTGATCTGCAATTTATCCTCTGAAACACAAAAAAATAATTATTATTAAAAAAAAAGAATCACCACAATCGGTCCACCCGGTCGAAAGTTCTGACAACAATCATAAAAAACAGTCCAGACACTGTTCCTTTTTTTAAGTCAGTTAAACATTAAAATAAAGTTAATGTAAACACTTTTGTAATAGTCATATATATTTTGAAACAAAAAATATACACATTCACTCTATTCCTAATTAAAAAAATAAGAATCATCAACATTGGTTCACCTAGCGGACAAGTTCTGTTATAACAATAATAGAAAGAAAACAGTCGAATTTAGAAAGTTTTTAACCGACTCCAAATAAAGGAGATGACCTTGTATTTGAAGTCGGTTAAAAACTTTTTTTTATATATGTATAGATAAAAACAGCACAGATAGTGTATAGATAAAAACAAATGACAAACGTAATGAGAACACAGCGTTCTATATTTGAATATTATGAAATAAATTATTGAGGAGGTCCTGAGAGGTTTTCTCACGAGACTACAGCATGGGGTTTTTCAAGAAGGGTATATTAAGGTTTCTTAAGGGTCGGCAACGCGTATGTGACACCCCTGGTGCTTCAGGCGTCCACAGGCAACGGTAACCCTTTACCATCAGACGGGCCGTATGCTTGTTTGCCACCATAGTAGTATAAAAAAACGCCTATTTTTGTTGGAGTTTCCAGCAGATGCCAAATTAAACATCTTTATTATTATTTTTTTTAAACTTAAAAAAAAATCTCATCATTAAGAGGGACTTAAGGAGAGGAGATGGTAACTTAGCCCCGGCAGAAGCACAGTCGGCCGGGGTTCAGGGCCCCAGAGAGAGAAACCGGCGTACAATGCGGGCAGAATCTAACAGCACCGCTTTCTGCGTCTTTCCCGGGAGTGAGCCGCCTCGGAATCCCAACCGTCTGAGATGTTGTTCCAGACTGGTTGGGATAAGACCGTTCACCGATATAACGATTGGAATGATTTCGGTGGACATCACCCCCCACATTTCGGTCACCTCGTGAGCCAGGTCGAGATATCTTCTCTTTTTCTCGGTTTCGGCTTTCACGAGGTTCTCGTCATGCTGTATGGTGATGTCCACCAAAAACACCCTCGAGTGCCCGATTCATTATTATTATTAAAAAAGAAACCGTAACTGCTCACCTGTAGGTTGTGTCTGCCCATTCTCCAATTGTCCTCAATAGACCTTATATCCTGAATTATCTTGGGGTACAGCTGTCTGTAGAACGAATGTGACGGGTGGTGGCATCCTGGTTTTGGTTTGAACAGGTACTGAATCCTGGTAGAATGAAAGAAAAATATATAATTCGATATTACATGCTCAATGGTATATTATCTCTGATTAACGCAAAGGTTGACTGGTATAGAATCCCATCAGGCATAAGTTCACCATGTATACAATTTTGTATAAATAAATAAACATATAAATAGTACTGTTGATTTCTTTTATTTTATTAATAACTCTTTATTGCACCTTAAAAAAATACAAAAAAAAAACATTATTCATTAGTATACAGAAAGGTAGGCTAGGTACAAAAGGCGATCTTATCGCTAAAGCGATTTCTATTTTATTTATTTACATGAAGGCCTCACTTCCGATGGTCGCGGGTTCGATTCACGGCACGGCATAAACATTTGTATTCCTGAGTATGATTGTGTGTATCGGTCCGGGCGTGTTCTATGTATATGTGTGTATTTATGAAAAAAAAACTATGTATTTGTATCAGTTGTCTAGTAGACATAACACAAGCTCTGCTTAGCTTGTGACTAGATGGCGCTGAATTAATTGTCCATGGTTAATTTATTTATTTTTAATGGTAATTTAGATTTAGCCGCTTGTGAAAGTATTTTTTTTTTGTATTAATATTTTTACATGTACATCGTGTATCTATGTAAATTCAAATCCAACTTCAAAAATCATTTATTCATGTAGGACATTTTAGCCGCTTATGAACATCAAATTTTTACATCATAATAAATGAAAATCCCGTGCATGAACAACTATTGCTGCAAAAGTATATATTTTTAACGTTATTATATACATATTTATTTTTGTTTTTTAACTTATTTTCACTGATGTGCCGCCATCTTTATTTTTAGCAAAACCTATTATAAGTGTAAAAATCTGTCTTTTTATATTTTTTTTTAAAGAATAAACGCGCTCCTAACAACACTCCCGTAACAAACCTAGTAAACTTAATTCCCATTCTCCTAGTCAAGTAAGTTTGTGATCAATCCTTTTGGGCTCTAGCTACTAGAAAGTACCAAGCATAAAATGCGGTTAATTAACCGTTAATATACATATAATAATAATCTCAGGACAATTCACACAGCGCCATCTAGACCCAAGTTAAGATAGCTAAAGCTTGTGTTATGGGTACTAGATAACTGATACATATACATAGATTTTTTTTGGTAACTACATACATATTATACATAGAAAACACCCAGACCGATACAAACAATTATATTCATGAATACAAATGTTTGTGCCGTGCGAGGAATCGAACCCGCGACCATCGAACGTAAAGCGGTGTGCTAGACCGTTAGACCACCGAGGTCGTCTTAACGTTAATAACGAAATATGTATTTTTTTATATTTATAGTCACTTACCAGCCTCTCCTCTCGGCGAGACCTCGCCACAGCGAGTCTGTGCGCACTTTCCTCTCGACGAGTTTCTTCCACAGCATCCCTTCAGATATGACCCGTTGCCACTCTCTGCAAACCAACTCGGCGGCGCACAGCGACCCCGCGTCCAGATACGACAGTATATTCTCGGCGACGTGATCCAGACCTTTCTCTGTTGAAAGAATAATTTATTTAATAAAAAACTACTCTCCCCGGCTTCGCACGAGTATATATGTATTATATACTAGCTGCACCCGCGTGGAATTTAACTTTGTTTTTCTAAAATAAAAGTAGCCTAAGTTACTCCTTACTACATCAGCTACCTATGAATAAAAGTTTCGTAAAAATCGGTCCAGCCGTTTCAGATATAATATATAAATAAATATAGATAGATAAACTCTTTATTCACAATTACAGACACATATATATGACATAATATGTCATTAAGAGTTTGTAACAATAAATAATTAAAAACACTATCCCACGCAGACGAAGTCGCGGACACGGCTAGTATAATACATGTAAATACTATACATATAAATAAAATTGGACCGATTTTGACGTGACTTTTATTGGTAGGTAGCTGATGTAATAAGAATTAACTTAGGCTAAATTTATTTTAGAAAAATAAAGTTAAATTTCACGCGAGCGAAGCCGCGGGCAAAAGCTAGTAGACAATAAATAGTCTAAAATCTTCCTTAAGTATTGCGTCTTGACTTATCGACAGTAGTTATCCGTTAGCATCAGCAAGTATAATATGACAACGTCAAATGTTACGAAATATATGCGGTTTTAAATTCACAAAAACAATTTGTAATTCAATGAATACTCGACAGAAAGACAGCACTGGTCCCCCCCCCCCCCCTCCGATCGATCCCCCGTCCAGTTCAAACGGGGATCGAAATTACGACGGCCCGAGCTGAGGTTCGAACCCCTAGCGGTGTCCTCCGTCAGGCGGGGGTTGGCTTTCAGGCGCTCCATAAGTCCTTCCTTAGGTTTGTAGTGCCATCTGCACTCGCCCCCTATCGTCCGGTGAAGCTGTAAAGGCCAGCTGCGGCCGCATTAGAGTAGTCCGAAAAAAAACTGTATTCGTGTTTTTGTTGTCCACAGGAAGGACTAGCTTTTAGCCGCTTTTTTTATTAATAACAATAATTTTTATCTAAAAGGCGATAACTAAAGTTAGTAATTCCTTTTATGGTAATTGCGTAAGGTCTTACAACAAACTACCAGTCTGTTCTAAATCTTACCGAAAAAACATTGAAATGTCGTATAAAACAATTTCTTTATAAAAATGCTTACTATAAAATTGAAGAATTTGTAAATGATAGTAAAGTTTTTGTAGAAAATATCTAACTTAAAATTCAAAGTTTTAGCGCTGACAATATTATACGATTGCACAAATAATTAGTGCGTAGCGATTTATGTATTGATTATCGCATACCTATTACTTGTTACCGTGTATTTACTTATTTAAAATAACATTTATTCAAGAGCAACACGCAAGTTTTTTACTCGTTCTTCTTGTGATGAGTCTGCGTTCCGAATGAGTGGTAGGATAAAAAAATATGACTATCAAAAAGTGCTTGTATTGAGTTTATTTGAATTAAAAATTATTTCTATTTCTATCTCTTTCTCTCTTACATATAAAAAATATGACATACAAAGTTTGTAAAAATATTACCCCTAAGGGGGCAAAGTAAAATAGGGGATGAAAATTTGTAAGGTAATTCGTAATTTTTGAAGCTAGAATGACGAAACCCATTTCTTTTTTTTTATAAGTAGCCTAAATAATTAAAAATGCTAACCAATGTTACTATTCAACGCGGACGAAGTCGCGGAGACAGCTTAGTATTAACATTATTATTCTATTATGAAATTACTAGCTACTCACAGGCTTCGCACAGGTGTACATGAATTATATATATAAACCTTCCTCTAGAATCACTCGTATCTATTAAAAAAAACGCTTCATAATCCGTTGCGTAGTTTAAAAGATTTAAGCATACATAGGGACAGAAAACGACATCTACTTTCCTTTATACTATGTAATGTAATAATGATTAACACATAAAAAAAAATAAAACTTACTGGGCAACATGCTGATGAAGTCCCTCTGCAGCATAGGTTTGAGGTATGCGTTGATGTGACCATGTTGGTAATGACACATTCGTGCTAGGAGCTGTTCCACGAATTCCACCTAAAAAGAACGAAGTGGAGAATCAGGCCATCATTCAACATTATCATTTTGTTAGATAAAAAAGGCTATACTCCATTTCTATAGTAATAATAATAGATATCTTATATATAAAATTCTCATGTCACAGTTTTCGTTCCCATGCTCCTCTGAAACGGCTTGACTGATTCTCATGAAATTTTGTGAGCATATTGAGTAGGTCTGAGAATCGGCCTACATCTATTTTTCATCCCCCTAAATGTTAGGGGTAGTCCACCCCTAATTTTTTTTTTATTTTAAGGCAAAACAATGTTTGCCGGGACAGCTAATGATAGATACAAAATAACTGACTTTATTCAAGTAGGTCTATTACAGACTTATGATATGTCAAATCTACCGTCAGTTCAGAGTGCTTTCTAGCTAAGAACTGACAAGAAATAGAAATAGAAATAATCTTTATTCAAATAAACTCATTACAAGCACTTTTGAAGTCATATTTTGATTCTACCACTGATTCGGAATGCAGATTCATCACAAGAAACAGCTTAGCTTTTATTATTTTCAAATAAGCTTGTACATGTTTAACAAAACATTTTTAAGTTAAAATTATGGAGAATAGTGACCACTAGGTCACTCTATTCTTCCTTTCTTTTTCCTTTTAATTAATTGGCAATCTGTTCTTTATACAATAGTCTGATGGTTCTTTTATTCTTCCTAATTTAAACTATATTTATAAATTGAAAAGTATGTAAGAGAATAGAAAACTAGTCATTTTAAACATAAACCCCTTCTATTAATAATTAAGGCATTTGTTCTGTCAGGTGTTAAGAACCTGTTTCACCTCCAAAATGTATTATGTTCATGCTGAAGGGATCAATAATATTCTCACCTGATCTGTTTCGTTCCACCGTGAGAATAGATTCAGACATGTGTCTCTCTCGGCCGTATACGCCGCGCTGCTCGGCGCCGGCCGCACCCCCGTGTCCAGACATGTCAATGACGTCACCTGCAAATACAATAGTCATCACCATGATTCTACATTGTCACCAACAAATTACAATTGTCATCCTTCAGTCATCATGAATCACTATTGTCACCTACAAATTACAATTGTCATCATTTGGTGATCACCATGAATCCCCATTGTCACCTCACCTACAAATTACAATTGTCATCATTTAGTGATCACTATGAATTGCTATTGTGACCTTCAAATTACTATGGTCATCATTTAGTGATCAGCATGAATCACTATTGTCATCTACAAATTACAGAAAATCATCATTCAATCGCCAACATTGTCAGCTACTAGTTCCAATTGTCATCATTTGGTGATCACCATGAGTGACCATTGTTACCTATAAATTACAATTGTCATCACTCAGTGATTACCATGAATCGTCATTGTTCTAAAAATTAGAATTGTCATCATTCAGTGATCAAAATGACACACCATTGAAATGTGAGATAAGGAAATATATGTTTATCTTCTTTGTACAAGATTATAGTAGATGATTCTTAAGAGCTGACTCCTGTTTTAAGATGACTTTTGCTACTTTCTGTAAGTAAAAAATAAAGCATAATATATTAAACTCCTTGGACAATTCAAACAGTGGTATAGTCTCTGTCAAGATCAGCAGAGCTAGTGTTACGTGGACTGGACAATGGATATAAACACTTAGATACAGTTTTCTTAATATACATACATAGTTTACATAGGAAGGTGATTATTAGTATCATATTTTGTTGTTTATGGACAATAATGGAATCATCCACCACCTGCACTAAAGGTTTATGCTGACGGGACACCAATGGAGGATTATAAAATGTGCATGTGGAATGATGCATGTGTTAACAAATTATGTTGGCGGGGCACCAGGATGATATAATGAGCATAGACTCAGGTTATTAGTCCATCTTGGTAAATGACAATTTACCACAATGCTTTCCAAGGAGAACCGCGCGAAAGTCTACCTGACATGGTACACAATAGTAATGGAGACACCGGTCCCTATTATTAATAATCCCTTCCTCCTCTCACACCTAGGATTACAATCATAAAGGTAATTTAAAATGAAAAGGGCAGTTTTATATTATCTACATGTTTACTAAATCAAAGTTAATAATCTGTGGTAACTATTAAAAGAAAAACTTGAATAAAAGAAGTTACGATTCGTAGAGATCTAGTCACGTAACCTAGATAGAAACGATGTATAATAATTGCGAAATAGTTTTTGAAAGTGGCACACGACGTTTTTGTCCATTAATCATCAATAATTTGTGACTCCTTATTATTAAAATATTGGCAAAATTTGTACATATTTCAAAAACATTGCTTTGTACAACTTTTATTGTTTTGTTGCAACATTTTTGTTATTTTTTTTTAAGTGTACAAAGACACAACTTTATTTCGGCTGTTTTGGTTATATTTTAAAAGAAAGTTGCAATTATAAATGCAATCCATAGATTAGAAAGACTATTAATGTATTATAGCATTGATTCAGGTGTAATTTAATGGAATTTAAGTATCCGCAATGCAGAAGATAGAAGTATTGGTAAGTTTATTTAGCCTGTCTCTATTTAGTACTAAATAGCTTTTTATATACAATAAAAATGAATAATTTAACAAATGTACATTATAGAATTACTAACATGCAATTCAAATTGTACTTAGATGGTGAAATAAACAAATTGTTAAAAGGAGAAACGGCAATGAGAGGTAAAGATGGCGGAAGCACAAGAGTCGTGACATTACGGATTGTTCCAATTAATGTTTTCATCCAAACCTGTGGTGGTATTGTATCTTCTATCATCCGTTCAGTCTCCATCTTTTGTTATTTCACTAAACACATTAATATGAGTCCACTAAAATCGTCACTAATAAATCAAATCACATTTGCTAAATATTCATGGCTAGAGACGTTCGTATGACGTCAAGATTTTTACTTTTTAATTTATGAATGTTAAAGCACAGAGCAACTATTTTTCGTCCATGTTTTTTGTTTACGTTGGTGGGGGATAGCTAAATTGGTAGCTGTGAGCACAGATAAGATAATATGAACAAGCAGCATTATACCCTAAATAGTTACTATAAATGTGTCCTTGGAATAAGTGCAAATTGAATATGTATCTTAGATCCAAAAAGTAAAGATTATATTCAGCCTACAAATGAAAGAAACTAATTGATTCATGAAACTTCGCGATAAGACTTCTGTCTGTTTTCACATTTTGCTACTACGTATATAAAAATGTCGTGGTAAAATTAAGACAATACTAATAAAATAATTAATTAAATATTTCAGTTAGCTAATAAATATATGTAATAAAAAAATTACAATCTTCATTGGCTATTAATATTTTAGGTTCGATTTTTCCCTTTTTATGGAAAGGCAAAAGGACTCCACCCGTTGAGTTAACTAGATTGTTGGAAGCAGTTGTCATACTGTCATCGTCATCTGGTTATACCACAGAATAAAGTTATTTTATTTCTCTAGTTAGTCTGTGTACTTTTCTTTATAAATTCAATATATTTACATATAAATTTTCCCGTCAAAATCGTATTGAATATTCCTTTTATTAATTTATTATAGACTATCAATAATAAAATGGTGTACAGTAAACATTAATAACTGTTGTTTGACATAAATTATGCTAATTTTACCAAAGTTATATATAACTTATTGAATAAAGTGAACCTAACATAGTACTTTCTCCATTAGAAATGTTGATACAAAAATTATTTGTAATTATTTGAAAGCACATTAATAACATATTGCCCTCCTTCAAAAGACGTAAGTATTATATATATATATCTTAAATATTATTTAGGATAGATAATATTGAATTATATTTCTTTTTGCACTGCTTTATTTGTAGGTTTTATTATTGCTTATTTAATTTTCTTAAATTTTGAGTATTTTAAATGTAAAGTAGTTTATTTAGGAACAAAACTTTTTAACGAATGATGCAATGTTGCAGTTGACTATATTTCTATATCTCTGACTAACCCATGTGTAATTACAAAGGATCATATAGATATTTCTTTATCTATAGTCATAAAAATTATAATGATACCCCAGAACAATTCATTCAACGTCATCTAGTCCTGGTAAGCAGAGCTTGTGTTATGGATACTAGACAACTGATTTAAATTAGAATATTGTTATTAACAAAATTAATTACTAGCGATTAATTTGGTTTGTTACCGATCAAATCGTAAGCGGAAAGTTAATTAAATGCACATACAATAAAACAATGTAAATATAGACCTACTAGCTGTGCCCGCGGTCACATGTAATTTATAGCCTAATTGTTATTTTAATATGTAAGCTATGAGCTACAAGCCCCAGCTTCGCACAAGTGTACATATATTATTTATATAAACCTTCCTCTTGAATCACTCTATCTATTAAAAAATACCGCTTCAAAATCTATTGCGTAGTTTTAAAGATTTAAGCATACATAGGGATAGACAGCGACAGCAGCTTTGTTTTATACTATATATAATGATATTACTGTAAAGTTATGTAGTGTATGAAACAAAAATTCAAACACTAACATTGCCCTCTAACAACCACCACTGTCACAGTGTTAGGTTGGCTGGAAGAGATCTCTTGCAGATAAGCCCAGCCTTACTCACATCTTTGTATTATTATCTTTATTTATTAATGTAACAAGTGCAATAAAGTATAATAAAAAAAAAAGATTTTATTGTTACATACATACATTATACACCCGGCCCGGCCGGTGGCGGACTCCGGCACTTCTTCTCCTACAGGCATCGACACTTACTGACAAATAATCCCTCCATTCTAAATTTAATCTGAATTTGTCGGTAGGTCATAACAGTTTTTATATTATACCTATTAACACTGTCCACTAGTTTCATTGGCTATCCAGGACTTAACACTACTCATAAATACAAATGTTTGTACCTTGCAAAGAATCAAACCTGCAACAATAGGTAGTAAAGTGGAGTAATAAATAGTTAGACCACAGAGGCAGTGTTATGAATAAATAAAATAAAATGTATGATGTTTTCAGTCAGTCATGATGTCTGATGATGGAATGGAGAATCGACATGGACCGCCTGGGATTAACTCACGCTCCCTCAGCGCAGCACACTCCGCTGCAGATTTGGAGGTAACAGCTGAACTCTCACGGACCACTTTTTATCTTTTACTAGCTGACCCGGCTAGGCATTGCTGTGGCTAACAGTGTCTTTAAATATAAAAATAACTTGCAATAAAATAATATTGCGACTATAAACTGAGATGTAAGCTATCCTATCTTTCAAGTTGGATCAAATTGCACACAATGTGCAAATCAAATTTGTAATCGGTTCAGGCGTTTAGGAGTCCATCGCAGACAAACAATATGACATGTATTGTCTTATATATGGAGATGTATATGTACTACCTGACACTCGCAATTTCGTCTGATTCACACTTGGCATTTGTCTTTATGTTTCTCTATATTCACATTTTTTTTTGTAAATTATAGCCTATGTGTTATACTGATGTATAAGCTACATTACTGTAAAATTTTATCAAAATCTGTTCAGTAGTTTTCGCTTGAAAGACTAACAAACATCCATCTATACTTACAAACTTTTGCGTTTGTAATATTATTAAGATTTAATAAAAAAATATATATAAATAAATAATAAATAAATAAATAATAAATAATCTCAGGACAATTCACACAGTGCCATCTAGACCCAAATTAAGCTACCTAAAGCTTGTGTTATGGGTACTAGACAACTGATACAAATACATAGATATGTTTTTTTTTCGTAAATACATACATATTATACATAGAAATTACCCGAACCGATACAAATAATCGTACTCATGGATACAAATGTTGGTGCCGTGCGAGGAATCGAACCCGCGACCATCGGTAGTAAGGCGGTGTGCTAAACCGCTAGACCACCGACGCCGTCAAATATATATATAAGTATCTACAAGGTCTGCTTACCGTGGCACTAGACAACGCTGTGTTAATTGTCTATGGCTAATAAATAGCCCTGGACAATACGCCTCTGAGATGCCCAGGGCATCGGATAATAACGACGCCATGGGGCGTCACAGCGCAGAGTATTGGAAGCCCTGCGTTAGACCACTGGAACCTTATCAAAATTGAAATATTAAAACTCAATTTGTTCTACCAGGTGCTTCGTGAGATAGAGAACGTATATTTCTCTTCACCGTCGGAGTTCGACGCTGGGCGGTACGTGTTGGAGCATGCACCGTCGCCACTAACATGCGACGCCATAGAGCAGATGTTCAGCAAACTGAAACGGCAACAGCAGGTGACACGAAATATCCATAAATTACATCACACAAATTCCATTACTTCTAATGCCCCACCTCCCACCCCATTCCTTCCCGTGGTTCCCCTTGGAAACTATTATGAAAGATACATGGGGTGAATTTACCATGATGGGCTATTTGACCTGACCTCATACTGATTTTATCATCCTCCACTGGTGCCCTGCCAGCGTTAACCGTTAAGCGCAGGCGGGTGCACCAGTCCATTATCATCCATAAGAAAAGAACCCACCTCTCTTCTCATACTTCCCTTCCCACACGTCTCTTCCCCTACCTCTCTTTACCTTCTGTTGCAACGTTATTTATATATTAATACGTGTACAGCTTGTAGGGGCTGGTCTGCTCTAATTAGATAGATTTATTTTATTACCCACATAGCTTTTTATTTTCCTATGCATCTTTGCTATTTGGTAGTTTGTATTCTAAACTACTGATACTAATGCATAATATTTTTTTATTTGAAAATACAAACAATGATATTCATGAATATGAATAGATTCATGAGATATTTGTGATGACCTCAAACAGTCCAGGAAGTCTATGCATGTAGGTCACACAGTACCGTTCCTTAATTTTGGCAGTATGATCACAGAGAAGTGTTCTGTGGTTTAAAGCTCATCAACAAAAGAGCAACACGCAAGTTACATATATGACTATTCAAAAGTGACTATATTAAGTTAATTTAAATAAAAATCGTTTCTATTTCTAATCAAATGTTTTATGTCATCGCAGGTAGTGTCCGGTAAAGCCCTTCATTTAATATCACAACAGCGCGACAACTGCGATCGCGAATTCGCCGAAATACAAAACATCCGCCAACATTTGTCACAAACATTGGAAACGTGTCGCAAAGCTAGGGACCACTTACGAAGCGCCTCCAACCACCTCACAATCTCAACATTTGTCATACTCGCAAACTTTAGAAAGAGACAAATTATACGTTCTGTACTTAAATCTTTAGAATTATTAAGAAGTTTACGCAGTGTTGAAGAAGACGTAGCAGATTTAATGGAAAAGAAAGAGTATTACGAAGCTATAGAGCTTATTTTGAAAAGTCGGAAAGCTGCTGCTAGCCACAACGAGTATACATGCATTGCGGATCTGACGACTAGACTCCAAGACACGTTAGATATGACAGAAGAGAAATTAGACTCAGTGCTCTCAAAGATATGTTATAATTTCGATGAGCACATCTTTAGGAAACTTAAAAAGGCATACACACTATTAGGGAAGATGCAAGCCGCTATGGAACAGTTGCATATGCATTATTCCTCAGCAGTTAATGAATATGCTATTGAAGCAGTTAAACCATATGTAGGAGATGTGACAATAGAAATGAAGTTCCAAGATCTATGTCAAGCAGTGCAAACAAATAAAGCACCTGTGTGCCTTTTAAATTTGTGCGAGAATCTCTTTCTCATAATGAGGAGTTATTACCTTTTAGTAAATTGGCATTCCAAGCATGACGGTGAAGAAACGGCATCGAGTTCTAATAACGTTTTCGAAATAGAAAAGAATGTTAGTAGAGAATACATTAGACAAAAATTAAAAGCGGGTTTGATTAGAATTTGGCATGACGTACAAGCCAAAGTGTCTACCTTTTTGAAAAGCTCTGGACTAGAAGAATATCCATTTGAAAAGTTCATACAAATGCTAGGCATACTTAGGAAACTGACGCAAGTGGCCGAAGTGTTTTGCGGCGACAAATCAGATATCCTTCAAGATTTTATAAAGACAAATAGTGTGTTGTATATAAAAAACTATCACAGAGGTCGTATGGACGAGTTGAAATTATTTTTAGAGAACGAGGGCTGGGAACAATGTCCTGTCAAGTCTACTTTCAACCTTCTAATGTTGCAAGAGTTCAAACTGTTCAAAAAATACCTCACCTCATTCAGATCTGACAAGTCCATTTCGAGACCCCAATCCGATGGGACTTCTTCAGTGCATTCACAGGAAGACAGTGTGTATATAAAGAAATACTTTACTGAAAAAACAAAGCATACACCGTTTGAAATATTCCGAAGCGAAAACGTCACAAACGATGATATTTTCGGTCTAGAGCCTGAATTCGACCCGAGTGATGAGTCTGATGATGAATTAGAGGTATATAGAGATTTAATCGAAGACGCCGACAAAGACGAGTATAATACAAATGAAAAAATCATCGAGAGCCCTTCAAAAGTTAAGAACAGTGTTATTGTAACAAACACGACGTTGTCAGTCTTAAGAAATTGCGGACAATACTTGCAAATTTGCAGATATCTCCCTCAAATTTCTTTGGAGGTGGTCATGTTCATGAATCAACTGTTTGATTACTATTTCTACACGGTACACCTCTTCTTCACTTCAGATTTAGAAGTAGCGTCGTCTACTTTGTACAGTACAAAATTGAATGCAGTCCTCAAAAGAATATCTAATAATATACAAACAAATCTTGGAGCCGGCGACAATGATGGCAAGACGTATTTGTGTCCCGAATTACCTCAGCATTTAACCCTGTCTTCTGAAGAAACATTGCACGGACTTAGCGAAAGAATTGTTGCAGTAGAAAGTGTAATATTTCTAGCAAACCAATATGAACTTCTTCAGCCGTATTTAGAGTCTATTGTCGCTCAACATCAGAGGATGATATTAGAGCATTTTAAGGATAACACACTAGCTGTTGTAAGTGATTTACGTTTGCCTGTATATATGTGTTCCGCGTCAAAAGCTGTTGACGCTAGATCGTCGTTAATAGCAATGTCTCAAGTGAAATGGGACGTCAAAACTGTGGCAGTAGACCACAGTCCATACGTAGATATGATAACCCGGAAAATTCAAGTGTTCGCGTTACGTTTGGAGAATATATCGACGAAGGTCACTTTAAATTTGGAAGTGTTAAATTCAATTTGGTCCATGGTCGCAAAGTTTGTTGTACATTTACTAGTAGAGGGCTTCTCGAACGCGACCAAATGTTCGAACGGCGGTAGGGGACTAATGCAATTGGACTATAGACAATTGTTTGTGAAATTGGAGAAGATATCAGGTTTAAAACCAGTGCCGTACCAAGACTATGTAGATAGGTATGTGAAAGCGTATTATTTGCCTAGGAAAGGCCTAGAAGACTTTGTTAGGGAACGGACAGAGTTTTCAAACAAACATTTGCTGGCGTTAGTGACATCGGCGTGTGAGAATAAAAGAGATAGGCAAGCGTTAATTGCAATTATCGAAAGCAGAGATGCCACGAATACTTAATCATATTTTATTTTAGAATGTTGTTCATGTTGTAATCTCCATTTGATATCTTTATATCTCATTCCATAATATCACTTATTATAATTATTGTAAGGTATAAAATCCAATGAATCTCTGGAATCAGTGATGTGAATAATAATTTATAAGCATAGCAGATTTATCGATTATCGATACAGATCAGATTTGACAGTCATTGTTTAAATGGGGATAGGTGAGGATAAAATGTGACAAGAATGGCACACTTAGTCCCGAAGTGTGACACCAATGTCACACTTAGTCCCCAAGAGTGACATTGTTGTCACACTTGTGTCGATCACCCTTTCCCCTTTGTACAAAATAATAGCTCAGTTTAATTAGTAAAATATTAAAATTACAGTACGGAGAGGTTGAGGGGCATATTAAAATAACTGAAATTATTGAGTTAGTTTATGGATGGGCCCTTATATACCTTTTTTTTAAATTATTTACATTGATTTTAAGGTTTTGTTACTAAACATATCAACCCCATTATATCTAATCTAAATAATAATAATATCTCAGGACAATTCACGCAGCGCCATCTAGTACCAAGCTAAGCAGAGCTTGTGTTATGGGTACTAGACAACTGATATAAATACATAGATACAATTTTTTATAAATACATATATCTATAAAAACCTGATACAAAAATGTCTTACTTATGAATACAAATGTTTATACCGTGCGAGGAATCGAACCGGCTACCATCGGAAGTAAAGCGTTCATTCCACAACTAGTTTGTGTATATTAGAAACATTGTACAGGGAGCATTGTATTTCTAAGTGTACTAACAGTAATGTATTCGTTGGTACCTTATCACATTAACTGATTATGTATTTTATTAAGCAAATACTTTCATTATTTTGTATTGTTTACTGCGACAAAGGTGTAAAATATAGATATATATTTATTTACATGTACCATGCAATGTTAAATAAAATGTATTATTTGCAATTTCTTTTTTAATTGATATCTGACCATTACAAGTAGTAAAGTTTTAAATTTGCCAATGTGCTACGCTAAACCAGACTTCAGTGTCTAGAACGCCGTAATAGCGTAAAATATAAAGTAAGCCTACATTCAACACTATGATCATATGCAACAACTTGTATGATTATATTCTGAAGCATCAGAGTGTTCACTGCTTGCTGTCATATAGGGACATAGTCATTTAGACGGTAGGGAAAAATTAAAATTATAATGTAGAAATTTTATGTTCATAAGCGGCTAAAATGTCCTACATGAATAAATGATTTTTTAATTTGAATTTATACAATGTATATCAGTAATTTCTTTGAATGCTGCATACCTATATGCATTATAGTAATTGGTAGTATGTATATATTTTTATATATAAATAAAAGTATAAGTTTTTATTAAATTGGAACTATTTTGACTTAAATTTTTAAATAACTGTGATAAATGAAGTTAAAATTTTATAGTCTGTTAAAAAATGTACGACAAATCATTATCATTACATAGTATAAAACAAAGTCACTGTCGTTGTCTGTCCGTGCCTATGTATGCTAAAGCCTTTAAAACTACGCAATGGATTTTGAAGCGTTTTTTTAATAGATAGAGTGATCAAGGGGATGGTTTATATATATAATACATGTACTCCCGTGCAAAGCCGGGGCGAGTAGCTAGTATTTAATAAATAATAAAAGCTCACTTTCCGTTTTATGCCTTAGTACATAATCCAAGTGATAAATGGACTTTTTTGTTTCTAATAAACGTACCTATCTTATCTGTAATCGACGTCGACACTTGACAGTAATGTCAGTCATTGATTGACAGTCACAGAAACAAACGAATGATGTTGAATGACATTAAATCGATCAATCTATATTTCTATAGAGCTTTTATTTCTTTATTATTATATACTTGGATAAAGAATCACTATGGATATGACAGCGAATAATAATACCGTGATAGACCGAGATCACAGCATACGAAAATATACAGGAATAAAAAGGACAACATATTTTTTTGTTGTCCTTGTCTGAGTTTCGTTGGGCACAACCGAAGTTGTGACCAACAAAAGTTTGTGCCTTGCGATTTTTCTTGATTATTGAGTTATTTTGAGCCAAAAACATTATAGAAAGTGTGTCGATATATGTGATTTATATAATATTTATCGAGAAACATGGTGATATGTTATATCTTGGGCTGTAAAAGCCGTAGTGAGCGAAAATGTGAAAACATAACCTTTCATACGTAAGTACGACTTTTTATGGAATAATATGTTCTGATTTACAAAAATATCAATAAGGTTATCTTAATGGCTTATTAATACGTGAGGAATCGTGTCTGAATTAGTGAAATAAAGTGTTTAAAATATATTTTGTATTTACTGCCATGGTACTATTATACGACCAAATTCAGATGCTAAACATTTTAGTGGCTGCCTAAGTCTTTCATTACTTTTAATTTTTATAGGGTTATACGATTTTTAGGGTTACCAGTTAATAATGGGGAAATTACCCAAATGTTATGTATTTATTTTATTTATCATAAAATACGCTAAGGATAAATGTCTTTTTTTATTTTTCTTCTGATGATCTGAGTATGTGCATTTAATAGAGTTAATTATTTTAGATTTCCAAAAGATTCTACGATCCGGCAAATATGGATACGTGCAACAAGACGAGATAACTGGATTCTAAGTAAATATGCAAGAATATGCTCCAAACACTTTGAACGAAATTGTTTTAGGAAAACTTCTCGCAACGTTTATTTGAAAGCGTACTCGGTTCCAACGCTACATATTACTGCTAAGAAGGTAAAATATTATGATACTTGCTAATATTTAAAAACGTGTTATTGTGTACATATCATCAGTGAAAAATGGGGACAAAATATAGTAGCAGCCTTGCTAAAAATTGAGAATCTTAGCCATGATTTTGTACTATAACAGTTCATGGTTATGTTGAAAAAAGTGTTCTGAAATTGTCTACATAGTTCCTTAATTTTTACCACTTTAAAAAACAAGTACAAGTCCTTTTTGCTTTGGGATGACCCAAAGCAAAAAGGACTTGTACTTGTTTTTCAAAGTCCTATTAGAAGTTAAGACAGCCTGAAATGTCCAGAATCTAAATATGGTTCTGGTGTTTTAAAGTGTAATATATTTTTGTTATTTATAGTGAATGTTAATTATAATTAATAAATATTATCATTTTATTTCAGAGTCATGATGTTATAGAAATTCCAACCAAAAAAGCATCAATAAGCTTTAATTTTTGTTTATTTATGTAATTATATATGTATTTTATACGGGTATATCAGTATGTTTATATATTTGTATTTATATATACATATATTATTTTACTGTACTTGTCTATATGTATATATATCATCCACCCTGGAGATATGAGAAGTATTTTCATAGTACGTCATCTATATATAGGTATAGGTTTTCCAAAAGTCAAGGGCTTCATTCGTCAAATAAAGAGAGACTATAAAACATAATATCTTTATTGTTTTAACAGTTTGACAAAAAAAAACACTTGTGAATTCCTATTGACCTTTAAACAATATTAATTTGTTGTAAAAATTGCGAATGTTTTCGCCTTTATTACATACCGATTTAGTCGCATAATGAATACGTACATTTAGATATTTTTTACATATAGCTTTAACCAAAAGCGGATAATGGCTGTCTAAAATTGACCGATCTGCAAATTCATGATCTTCGGAGAATAAATTTAGGCCAAGGCTTTTTTTTAAACATTCCTGTATGAGGTAATGTAAGGGGTCTTTCAGTTTATGTACTTTATTTTTTCTATAAATTTCTTCAGCTATTTTACATAATTTAACAACAGCTTCAGAAGGATAATGCAACCCACCTTTGTCTTTTTTATACTGTAAAGAATGAACTAATTTTTCATTACTAATCAATGCATTTAGGCACTGTTCGCACTTAATTTGATTTTGTAGTGCTTTGACGACGAAACCTGCAATGTATACAATTACATGTCCTGCGAATTCGGTAAGTCTTGTTGGGTTTGCCAGATAATCATGGTCTTGTAATAAAACTACCTCAGATTCTAATGACGGTAGAAGATCTGTATCATTTTCTACTAATCGATTACGATCTGTCGTATTATTAATTGCGATCTCCGGCTTACTGTACGTTAAAATATTTATATCGCTCAAAGGCAAACAATTACCTGAAGTCAGGTGTTTTAGCTCGCCATGAACTAGCATGCGTTTATAAGCAGCTTTAAATTGCCTAGCGGTTGGATTATTATTAAAACCACCTTTTGCCCTAATAGCACTAAAAAAAATTTCTAAGTGGTCTTGACTTAGTTTATAAGTTGTTAAGAATTCCAATTTATTTGAGACTACAAATTCCTCATAAAGAAATAAAACACTTTTAATACATAGTAAAAAACCTAAAAATCCTGTTTTCCTCTCCGTATCTAAGATATTTCTGTTGTTAATTTTTAGTAATTTTATATAGTCAAACATTTCTTCTAGGAATTGTTTAATAGTTTCATAATTACTAATTTTGAGAGGTTTTTTAAAACCATAACTGTTCAAATTACGCGTGTTCAAAATGTCGAATAGTGTGTTGAATTTCCTAATAAAATCTGCAGTTGCCTCACAATTATCAAATTGTTGAAGTCCGATACTTTCGTGGCTAAATTGTAGTGCATCGGCCACTGATTCACTGAAGAGTTGCGCTGCTAATTTGACTTTCATTATCTGTTTCCTATAAAGAATATGGGCACCTCTTAATTTATTTCCTAAATGAAAACCCTCGTCTTCTTGAAGTTCATGCAATAGTTTTAAGTAACGCCAAGAAACAGTTTCACCTTCCGCATTTGTAAGACATTCTTTGTCACCTAGTGTATTTCGGACTAATTTTAACATATGAGATGGATCCGGGAATATTACCATCTTTTTATTTTTGTGTATAAATATGGGATTAATCACATCTCCTGTTAATTGACATCCCAATAACTTAGCAATAGAATAATTTGCAGGACATCCGTCAAAAGTAACTGATGCAACATCCACACCACATTCAGTTATTACATTGATACATGTTTTAAGTAAAGATGCTTTTTACAGTAGTTAATAAGTCCGCAGTATCTTGATTAATCAACCGTTTCACTAGCAAGTTTTCAATAATAGCGGATAGCTCGGCGTTTTGTTTCAAGAGGCGACTATTTTTTGGATGTGGATGATATATATACATATAGACAAGTACAGTAAAATAATATATGTATATATAAATGCAAATATATAAACATACTGATATACCCGTATAAAATACATATATAATTACATAAATAAACAAAAATTAAAGCATCAATAAGCTTTAATTTTTGTTTATTTATGTAATTTAAAAATGTAAAAGAGTACATACAAAAAAATATAATAAATTATAATAATATTATATATTTGTGGGTAAATTAATTAAGTTCATATCATCCGGCAACACCATGCGTAAGATGTACTCTATAGTATTTTATGTTGGGCTAAAAAGGACTTGTATCCAGAGCCGTAAAATATTAAATAAATAAAAAAAAAATAAAGATGTACTCTATATCCATCCTTATCGGGTGTACGCGCACGTCGTGTCCATTTGATACTTGGTCCTAGATTATATATTTTCATTTAAATAATTGATAATTGTAAGTTATGTTGTTTTATTTAAATTCATAAATGCAGTATTTATTTATTATCAATATCTAAATAATTTACTACTGTTTAATCTGAAAATAGGAGTATATTTACAAGAATGTCAGATGTCGAAGAGCCGCCAACGAAGGTTTTAAAGTTAGAGGTAATGTCGGTGCCTAATATTGTTTATTAAAAATGTTTATACATTATCATATGTTTATTAAGAATGAAAGCAACTGTTATACGTTGTTCATTGAATAATAGAGATATGAAACGGGCGAGCAACTGACATCGCTCGATTTCATTTGATTTACTATTAATAATGATCTCTAGAAAGTAACAACAAAGTCGTCGCTTCTGTCTCTTCGTGTAATTTAAAAGATATAATCGTTTAAATTACGCGACGGATTTTAATGCAGTTTTCAGTAATAGATAGAGTGATTGAATGGGAATGTTTATATATACAATATATGCATTTTATTGTATAGAACAGGCACATATAAATATTCTATATTATTGCTTGTTATATATAATACTAGCTGTCCCGGCAAACATTATTTTGCCTTAAAATAAAAAAAAAATTAGGGGTACCCCTAACATTTAGGGGGATGAAAAATAGATGTTGGCCGATACTCAGACCTACTCAATACGCTCACAAAATTTCATGAGAATCGGTCAAGCCGTTTCGGAGGAGTATGGGAACGAAAACTGTGATGTGGGAATTTTATATATAAGATATAATTTTTCCACACAAAGCATTGACGTGATTTACAGAGTAACAAATTCATTTTGCCATTATTAATCCTTAATAATATTATAGATGTGAAAGTAGGGTTGTTTGTCACACATTCACACTTAAAACTACTGAACCGATCATCATGAAATTTTGTACACATGTTCTTGGAGGTATTAGAATAATAATAATAATAACCTCAGGACAATTCAAACAGCGCCATCTAGACCCAAGTTAAGCTAGATAAAGCTTGTGTTATGGGTACTAGACAACTGATACAAATACATAGATATATTTTTTTTCATAAATACATACATATTATACATAGAAAACACCCAGACCGATACAAACAATCATACTCATGAATACAAGTGTTTGTGCCGTGTGAGGAACCGAACCTGCGACTATCGGTAGTAAGGCGGTGTGCTAAACCACTAGACCACAGAGGCCGTCAAGAATGAACATAAACACAAATATTTTTGATTCAATGTGAGCGAAACTGCTGGTAAAAGCCAGTAGTGTATAAAGTTAATGTTACTTATTTATTTATTTATTTAGGAAGATTAACGGTGTAATTTTACATGTTACTTGTCATATCAAATTGTCCTATGCCAATTAATAATGTACGCCAATATAATATAAATTTGTGGAGACTGTACTAGGTTTCCAAAAAACCTGTGATATAGGTAGGGTTTTTGATTATGTATCGACCAAAAGAAATAGTGTCAGCCTTGTACAGCTTTTTGCATTATTTTTAAAGCAAAACAAATAATTATTTTTATTGTTTAACTGAAACAATAAAAATAATTATTAATAAATAATAAATAAGAAAAAGTCAATAGGTCTTCTATGGGAATAGATATAAAAATTTACAATAAGATACCAAAGGATATATTGAAACTACCCTTAAATAAATTCAAAACATCATATTTACTGAGCAAGGCCTATTACTCACTAAACGATTATAAAATTATAATTGTTATCGTTACACTACCCTACATTGTAAAATATTATATATTTTTTTTTTTTTGTTCCAATAAAAGAATTATTATTAAAAAAAAAAAAATTTAAAACTTGACGTTCATAAGCGGCTAAAATGTCCTACATGAATAATGATTTTTTAATTTTGAATTGTTTGAAAAAACAGAACTTTTGGTTAGTGGGAATTTATTTATCTAGATTTTAATCTAGTTTAGTTTATTTTGTTTTGCTTTTTGAAGTAACAGCAGATAAGTAAGACTTATTTAAAATCGTGTATATGTATATATTTCTATAAATTTACTATTTGTTACTGTACTCTTGTTAATTAATTTCATATTCTCTGTTAACTTTATAATGCCTTTATAGGATGTGATGATGTAAATTTTTTAAGAATTAGTCTATTGTTATTAGTGG